TAAAAATAAATATAAATATAATGGTCAGGCATGGTGACGCATGCCTGTAGTCCCAGTTATGAGGTAGGCTGAAGCAGGTAAATCCCTTGAATCCAGGAAGCAGAGGTTGCAGTGAGCTAAGATCTCACCACTGCACTCCAGCCTGGGTGACAGAATGAGACTCCATCTCAAAAACAAAAACAGAAAAAACCCACAAAAATCCTATCTTCTTTTGGAGGGGAAAACCCCCAATGAATGAATTAATATTAGCTTTGGGCATGTTTTCGTCAAGGAATACGAGGGATTTTTTTTAATGGTGAAATGTGTAGATTTTTAAAATGTTAAATGAGGATATTCATATTTAAACAAGGTAGGAAATCACTGGTCAGTTCAGGTGCATGTTTTAATCATTACTGTGGCTGCGTTTTGGGAGGCTGAGGCGAGAGAATCACTTGCACCTGGAGGTGGAGGTTGCAGAGAGCTCACACTACGTCACTGCACTCTAGCCTAAGCAAGAGAGTGAGATTCCGTTTCAAACAAACAAACAAACAAACAAAATTAGAGGGGCATGGTGGCACGCTCCTGTAACCACAGTTACTTGGGAGGCTGAGGCAGGAGAATAGCCAGCCTGAACTCAGGAAGTGGAGGTTGCAGTAGGCTGAGATTGTGCACTCCAGCCTGGGCATCACATCAAGACTCCGTCTCAAAAAAAAAAAAGAGGAAGAAAAGAAAACAGTCATTCATATGATGGAATATTATGCATGAACCTGTTCATAGAAATAAAGTTACTTAGAGCTATATGTGTTGTTAATAAAGATCTTCAAAAGTATAGAATTAATTCCTTAATAAGTTAAATATCAAATTACCATATAACCCAGCAATTTCACTTTTGGGTATATATCCAAAAGAACCAAAAAGAGGTATTAAGAAAACTTGTACATGAATTTTCATACAGCACTAGTTACAACAGTGAAAAAGTACAACCGGAGGTCCATTAACTGATAAATGGATAAATAAAATGTGGTATATCCATTTGAAGAAACATTACTTAGCCACAAAAATGAATGATGTACTGACACATGCCACAATATGGATGTATCTTGAAAACATTATGCAAAGTGACACAAAAGTCACATACTATGTGATTCCATTTATATAATATAGCTAGTAGAGGAAAATCCATAGAACAGACAGATTAGTAGTTGCCAGAACCTGGGAGAAAAGAAAATGAAGACTGATTGCTCAATGTGTACAGAGCTTCCTTTTGGGGTGGTGAAAATGCTGGAAATTAGTGGTGATAGTTGCACAGCATTATGAATGAGTACTTAAAGTCACCAATAGTAAATTTTATGTTATGTGTATATGTATTTGAGTACAATAAAAAGACAAAAGGACTGGGTGCAGTGGTTCATGCCTATAATCCCAGCACTTTGGGAGGCCGAGGTAGGTGGATCACCTGAGGTTAGGAGTTCAAGACCAGCCTGACCAAAATGGAGAAACCCTGTCTCTACTAAAAATGACTCCTGAAACAACTATTCTTAACAGTTTCTTTCTTTCTTTTTTCTGAGACAGAGTTTTTGCTCTGTTGCTCAGGCTGGACAAGTATTCTTAACAGTTTCTTTCTTTCTTTTTTCTGAGACATAGTTTTTGCTCTGTTGCTCAGGCTGGAGTGCAACGGCGTGATCTCAGCTTACTACAACCTCCACTTACCGGGTTCAAGCGATTCTCCTGCCCCACATCCCAAGTAGTTGGGATTACATGTCTCACTAATTTTTTGTAGTTTTAATAGAGATGGGGTTTCACTGTGTTGGCCAGGCTGATCCTGAACTCCTTACCTCAGGTGATCCACCTGCCATGGCCTCTAAAAATGCTGGGATTATGGGCATGAGCCACTGCACCCAACCTCTTAACAGTTTCTTACTATTTCTCTAGGCTGTCTGTATATACACAAGCATAACTGTTTATGTATGTATGTATTTGTATGTAAATTTGCATGCTCATATGTATATATACATATCCCTCCCCAAAACGTTATAGTAGCTATTTAAAAAGACACCAAATGATCAGTCAGCTGCAATCAGCTATGTGTGTTAAGATGGGGCATTACTAAAATTTCCAAATGAGCTTTAATTCCAAAATTACTAATGTGCTTCTCCATATCACAGAGAATGTTTATGAGAAGTCAGTAACATTACATTTAAAATTACTTCATCTAAGGATAGGTGTGGTGGCTCATGCCTGTAATCCCAGCACCTTAGGAGGCCCAGGAAGGAGGATGGCTTGAACCTAGGAGTTTAAGACCAGCCTCAACAACACAGTGAGACCCTGTCTCTACAAAAAATAAAAAAATTAGTTAGGTTGGTGGCACATGCCTGTGGTCCCAGCTACTTGGGAGGCTGAGATAGGAGATTGCTTGAGCCTGGTAGATCAAGGCTGTGGTGAGCCGTGATTGTTCCACTGTCCTCCAACCTGGGCAACAGAGTGAGACACTGCTAAAAAAACCAAACAAATAAATAAATAAAATTACTTCATCTAATAGTAATTAAATTAAGTGCTATCAGAAATGTACAACCAAGCTGGGTATCATGGCATGCACCTGTAGTCTGAACTACTCATGAGGCTGAAACAGGAGGACTGCTTGAGGCCAGGAGTTTAAGACCACTCTGGGCAACACAGCAAGAGACTGTCTCTACATAAATAAAAATAAATTCGCCAGGCATGGTGACACATCCCTGTAGACCAAGCTACCTAAGAGGCTGAGGTAGGAGGATCGCTTGAACCCAGGAGGTTGACGTTACAATGAGCTGTGGTGACACCACTGAACTCTAGCTTGGACCACAGAGCAAAATCTTGTCTCTAAAAAAAAAAAAATGTACAACCACAGTTAATGAAGGGAACATGAATGAAAGTTGCCCCATACTCATTCAACATTCAACAGACAATTACTGACTCCCTACTTGGTAGCAAGCACCATGCACTATACATCTATTCCAAGGATTCTAGTCTTTAAATTATCTGCAGCAATAGTTACTCATGGCTAATGAGACACACAGGAAGAAACAATTTCTTCAGGTCCTACGTGGCTTCACAACCTCTAGAGTCCATCTACTGAAGTGTCTCCTAAAGTGATCTGGAAAAGTTAAGAGACCCCTTAAGAACTTCAGTACCTGAAAATGATGGGCACAAGAGAAATATCCAGTTCCCCAAATACTTCTACATAGACCTACAAAAAGATCCTTAAAGCAATTATGATACTCTTTTTCAGAGAAGAAAAGTGAACTCACTGTATCCTACAGGCAGCCAAAGGCTTATTAAAATTGCACCTAACTTTTACAACTGATAAGTACAACTTTTCTGACTACCATTCCTTAGTTTATTGAGGCTTCTCATACTGTATGTCTTTATATATTATTTGGAAACTATTGTCAAGGAATACAGGGGACCTAAGGAAAGGCAAAGGAAAGCCAAACAACTATATCATGTTACAATCGGACCTTACCTATAATTAGGTAGAAAGGCTTTAGGAAATGTTTATTCTAGTTCAGTGGCCTTTTTTCTTTTTGGATCATGCATCCTTGGTAAAATATTTTCAACCCCACATCCCCAAATATGGTATTTACCTACATAAATATGTCTATACCAATATTTTATGTACATAAAATACACGCAAATTTTTTAATTAAAAAATGAGCTAGGGCAGGGTGAGGTGGCTCACGCCTATAATCCTAGAACTTTGGGAGGCTGAGGTGGGCAAATCACTCGAGTCCAGGAGTTCAAGACCACCCTGGGCAATAAGGCAAAATGCCATCTCTACTGAAAATACAAAATTAGCCAGGCATGGTGGCACATGCCTGCAGTTCAGTTATTTGGGAGGGTGAGGTGGGAGGACAGCTTGAGCTAGGGAAGTGGAGGTTCCAGTGAGCTGAGATCATGCCACTGCACTCCAGCCTGGGTGATAAGAGTGAAATCCCAACTCAAAAAAAAAAGAGATAGAAAATTTAACATTTCAAACGTTACTGATGTAGAAACTCTTTTTGTTATTACTAAAATTTATTTCAACAATATATTTTTAGTGCAATGAATGTAAACTGAATATTATGTTGCTGGAGTGCAGTGGCTATTCACAGTCACAGTCCAAGTGCACTGCAGCTCCTGGACTCAAGTGATCCTTCTGCCTCAGCTTCTCAAGTAGCTGGTACTAGGCCGGGCACGGTGGCTCAAGCCTGTAATCCCAGCACTTTGGGAGGCTGAGGCGGGTGGATCACGAGGTCAAGAGATCGAGACCATCCTGGTCAACATGGTGAAACCCCGTCTCTACTAAAAATACAAAAAAATTAGCTGGGCACGGTGGTGCGTGCCTGTAATCCCAGCTACTCAGGAGGCTGAGGCAGGAGAATTGCCTGAACCCAGGAGGTGGAGGTTGCAGTGAGCTGAGATCGCGCCACTGCACTCCAGCCTGGGTAACGAGCGAAACTCCATTACAAAAAAAAAAAAAAAAAAAGTAGCTGGTACTACAGTCATGAGTCACCACACCCACTAACTTTTTTTTTCTTATTCTTGATTTAGTACTTTGCTATAAACCAAGAGGCAGGTATTACTTCTACTTTATAAATGAGAAAACTGAAGTTTGAGAGAGTGCCTAATCTGACAAATGTCAGAGCACGGATGGAAACTTCTATCTGTGGAACTCTAAAACCAATGCTCTTAACCAATATATTCTAAGAAAAGAGGCAATCAGAGATAAATTTATCATGAGGTATAAGTCAAAAACAAAGAATAACTCCTTCTGACCAATCTGAATGAATCTGAATTATGTTCTCATTTGATTCTTATTAATATAATCAGTTAAAATCTCTGTATGACTTTGGGTAAGTCATTTAACTTATTTGAATCTTAGTTTCCCAATATGTAAAATGAGAGACTTGGATTAGGTGATCTTTAAGGTCCTTTTCAGCATTAACATTCTAGGAGTCAAAAATAAGAGCTAATAAGGCAAACATCTTTAAGCTGAATAACCAGACCTTTACTGATCTCCACATTAGGAAGGTTGAAGATTTCAAGGTCCATCATGCCTCCTTTAGTCCCTTCTGAGAGGTCTAAGAGGACCAGCCTATCTGCAATGCCCTGTACAATAAGAAAAAGAACAACATTACACTGAACACGGCCAATGACTCAATTTAAATTCATTCAACAATGAGAATGAAAGGACAATAAACAGGCCTCATACACTGTCTCAAGAAGAATAAGCAACACAATAGCAATAAAAGTGACATACAAGCAAGAAATTAACTTTGGCCAGGCCTAGTGGCCCACACCTGTAATCCCAGCATTTTGGGAGGCCAAGGCGGGTGGATTACCTGAGGTTAGCAGTGTTTAAGACCAGCCTGGCCAACATGAAGAAACCCTGTAACCACTAAAAATACAAAAACTAGGCTGGGTGTGGTGACTCATGCCTGTAATCTCAGCACTTTGGGAGGCTGAGGCGGGCGGATCATGAGGTCAAGAGATTGAGACCATCTGGGCCAAAATGGTGAAACCCCCGTCTCTACTAAAAATACAAAGATTAGCCGGGTGTGGTGGCATGTGCCTGTAGTCCCAGCTACTCAAGAGGCTAAGGCAGGAGAATCGCTTGAACCTGGGAGGCGGAGGTTGCAGTGAGCTGAGATGGTGCCACTGTACTCCAGCCTGGCGACAGAGCAAGACAGCGTCTCAAAAAAAAGCCAAAAAAAACAAAAACTAGCCAGGCATGGTAGCACATGCTTATAATCCCAGCTACTTGGGAGGCTGAGGCAGGAGGATCACTTGAACTCAGGAGGCAGAGATTGCAGTGAACCAAGATTGTCCCACTGCACTCCAGCCTGGGCAACAGAGCAAGACTCTGTCTCCAAAAAAAAAAAGAAACTATGAACTTCAATAATGTAATCTTTTAGGTCTGACTACTAAAAGCTGTAACAGGGCTTAACTCAGAAGGCACAGATCGCAGGTTTCTTTTGCGACGGAGTTTCATTCTTGTTGCCCTGGCTGGAGTGCAATGGCACAATCTCAGCTCGCTGCAACTCCACCTCCCTGGTTCAAGCGATTCTCTTGCCTCAGCCTCCCAAGTAGCTGGGATTACAGGCATGTGCCACCATGCCCAGCTAATTTTGTAGTTTTAGTAGAGATGGGGTGTCACCATATTGGCCAGAATGATCACGAACTCCTGACCTCAGGTGATGTGCCTGCCTTGGTCTCCCAAAGTGCTGGGACTACAGGTGTGAGCAACTGCGCCTGGCCCTGCAGATTTTTTTTTTTTTTAAGGAGCCTTGCTCTGTTACCCAGGCTGAAGTACCATGACACGATCTCAGCTCACTGCAACCTCCACCTTCCAGATTCAAGCGATTCTCCTGCCTCAGCCTCCTGAGTAGCTGGAATTACAGGTGCACACCACCACACCCAACTAATTTTTTTAAATATTTTTGGTAAAGATGGGGTTTCATCATGTTGGCCAGGCTGGTCTCGAACTCCTGACCTCAAGTGATCTGCCTGCCTTGTCCTCCCAAAGTGCTGGTATTACAAGCATGAGCCACCATGCCCAGCCCCTGCAGCGTTCTTTTAATGGTATGAGTTAATAAAGATGACTTGGTACACTCAATACTTGTTATTGCTTTGATTTATGTTTTCATTTTGATATTATCATTTTCATTCTGATAGAGCTCACAGTGACTTCTGGGTCTATTTGGATGTCTTATTTCTAGCAGAAAAGTTAAAAAATAATGCCAGCTTTTTCTTTTTAAAAAAGTGTAATAGCTATAAAATCTAAAACCAAATCCTATTATGTGGTACCCTCTCCAAAGACCTCATGGAAAATACTCCGTGTGCCTGTAAATTGGGTGGCACAGTGGGCTGACTGTAAATAACAGTATGGAACCCCCTAAAAATCAGTTTACTTTTGTGGAAGGTCTTTCTCCAAAGGAGTAGGAGACTTGATGATCGCTCCTATTTTAGGATTGATGGGCAAAAGTACCCAAAGATCCACCAGACTATCAGGCAGAAAGTGTGATGGTTAAGAAAACAACCCTGGCTGGGCACGGTGGTTCACACCTGTAATCCCAGCACTTTGGAAGGACAAGGTGTGGGCATAGGCTTGAGCCCAGGAGTTTCGGACTAGCCTGGGCAACGTGGCAAACTGCCCCCCCACACACAAGGCCTGGCTTGGTGGCTCACGCCTGTAATCCCAGCACTTTGGGAGGCGGAGGCAGGCGGATCACCTGAGGTCAGGAGTTCGAAGCCAACCTGGCCAACATGGTGAAATCCCATCTCAATTAAAAATACAAAAATTAGCTGAGCATGGTGGTGGGTGCCTGTAATCTCAGCTACCTGGGAAGCTGAAGCAGAATCGCTTGAACCTGGGAGGCAGAGGTGGCAATGAGCCAAGATCACACCACTGCACTCTAGCCTGGGTGACAGAGTGAGACTCTCAAAAAAAAAAAAAGAAGAAAGAAAACAACTCTGCTACATAATTTAGTAGCTATATAACGTAGCTATGCAACATGGGGAAGTGGCTTAATTCAGCCTTACTTTATGCGGTTGTAAGGATTAATTATGTGACACAGGGCTGGCATATAGTAATCCCCTCTAAAACATAGTTATTATTATTATTATTTATTTTATTTTTTTTTTTTGAGATGGAGTTTCACTCTTGTTACCCAGGCTGGAGTGCAATGGCGTGATCTCGGCTCACTGCAACCTCCACCTCCTGGGTTCAGGCAATTCTCCCACCTCAGCCTTCTGAGTAGGTGAAATTACAGGCACATGCCACCATGCTCAGCTAATTTTTTGTATTTTTAGTAGAGACGGGGTTTCACCATGTTGACCAGGATGGTCTCGATCTCTTAACATCGTGATCTACCTGCCTCAGCCTCCCAAAGTGCTGGGATTACAGGCTTGACCCACCACGCCCGGCCAACATAGTTATTATTTTATTGCTAACCATACACGTAAGAAAAATGCAAAGAAAACTATGAGTTACCATTTTCATTTACAAGACACAAAAAAATCCAAAAGTTTAGCAGTAGATGTGGGAAAATAAGTATTCTTACATATTATAGGTATGAGAATAAACTGGTATAATAAAAGATAATTTGATAATTTTCTATCAAAAATTTAAAATATTAACTCCTTGAATCCATCATTTATAGAAATCATCCTACAAATTTATCAGTATGTGTAAAACAACACAATATATATAAGGATATTCATAAGACTAGAAACAACAAAACGTTCACCAGCAACATTGAGACAATATAATATAGTGGTTTATAGCAGAGATTGAAAAAGCTTTACTATGTCACCATGTATTAAATCAGTGAAGTATATAGATCACCAGGGACTTTATCGAAATGCAGATTTTGAGGCCAGGCGTGGTAGTTCAGGCCTCTAATCCCAGCACTTTGGGAGGCCAAGGTGGGAGGATCACCTGAGGTCAGGAGTTCGAGACCAGCCTGACCAACATGGCAAAACCCCAACTCTACTAAAAATACAAAAATTAGCTGGGTATGGTGGCATGCACCTGTAATCCCAGCTACTTGAGAGGCTGAGGTAGGAGAATTGCTTGAACCCAGGGGGCAAAGGTTGCAGTGAACTGAGATAGCGCCACTGCACTCCAGCCTGGAAGACAGAGTGAGACTCCATCTCCCCCACAAAAAAATTGTAGAAATGGGCATTGTTCAGGCTGGCCTCAAACTCCTGGGCTCAAACAATTCTCCTGCCTTGGCCTCCCAAAGTGTTGGGAGTACAGGTGTAAACAACTAGGCCCAGCCAAAAAATGGCAAATTTTCTACTCAGACAATTCACAGACAAATAATGACAGTGAGAATATTGTAACAGTTTAAAAACATGGCCAGGAGCAGTGACTCATGCCTGTAATCCCAGCACTTTGGGAGACCAAGGCAGGAAGACAGTCTGAACCAGGAGTTCAAGACCAATCTAGACAACATAGGGAGACCCATCTGTACAAAAAAATAAATAATTAGCTAGTTGTAGTGGTATACCCCTGTGGTCCCAGCTACTCAGGAGGCTGAGGTGGGAAGATCTCTTAAGCCCAGGAGGGCTTAAGAGTCTGCAATGAACTATGATTGCACCAGTACTCCAACCTGGGCGACAGAGAGAAAGCCTGTCTCCAAAACAAAAATGAAAAGCCATGACTTTCAGATGCCTTCCTGTGCTTACCAAAAAAAAAAGACAAATAATTACAAATAAAATAAATAAATAAAAGTACTGTTAGGGATGTCAAAAATCAGGCTGATGTGCCTGTTATTAGCAGCATAAATTAGTTCTGCAATCCGGCAATTAAGTGCTATAAAAACCATTCATGCTCTCTGACTCACTAGTACTGTTTTTTAAACTTAGGCAAACCAGGCTGGGTGCAATGGAGAATGCTTGTACTCCCAGCACTTTAGGAGGCTGAGGCAGGAGGGTTGCTTGAGCCCAGGAATTCAAGACCAGCCCGGGAAACATGGTGAAACCCTGACTCTACAAAAATTATAAGAATTAGTGGGATGGTGGCAGGCGTCTCTAGGTCCAGCTACTTGGGAAGATGGCTTGAGCTGGGGAGACAGAGGGTGCAGTAAGCCGAGATTGCACCACTGCATTCCAGCCTGTGCGACAAAACATGACCCTGTCTGAAAAAAATAAAATAAAAAGGCTGGATGCCAGTGCTGGGATAAAAGCTTACACCAGTAATCCCAGCACTTTGGGAGGCCAAGGTGAGTGGATCATGAGGTTAGGAGTTTGAGACCAGCCTGGTCAACATGGTGAAACCCTGTCTCTGCTAAAAATATAAAAAATAGCTGAGTGTGGTGGTGGGCACCTGTAGCCCCAGCTACTCAGGAGGCTGAGGCAGGAGAACTGCTTGAACCTGGAAGGTGGAGGTTGCAGTGAGCTGAGATCAGACCGCTGTACTCTAGCCTGGGTGACAGAGCAAGACTCCGTCTCAAAAAATAATAATAAAATAAATATAAAAATAAAATAACATATGACCAGAAAAAATTCAGATTAAAAAATAAGCAACTTGAAATGTTTATAGAAGCATTTATTTAGTGACAAAAGACTGAATATAACCCAAATTCTAATTAAGATGTAATAGTAAGCCAGGTGTGGTGGCTCATGCTTATAATCCCAGCACTTTGGAGACCAAGGCAGGTGGATCACTAGAGGTCAGGAGCTTGAGACCAGCCTGGCCAACATGGCAAAACCCCGTCTCTACTAAAAATATAAAAATTAGCTGGGCACCATGGCATATGCCTGTAGTCCCAGCTACTTGGGAGGCTGAGACAGGAGAATCACTTTAACCCAGAAGGCAGAGGCTGCAGTGAGCCAAGATTGTACCACTGCCCTCCAGCTTTGGCATGAAAGTTGGACTCCACCTCAAAAAAAAGGTATGTAATAGTGTATTCAAATGGAGGATGGAAGAAATATGAAACTATAGAATGCCAAAAGTTAGCATATATAACTCTGAGCAGCCAGTTTTTAAGACATTCTAGCTCCATGGATACAATTTAATTATTTGCTGAAGTAGAACCCACCTCCAAGACATATGTGAGTCTTAAATGGAAAGGGAAGAATTTAGATGGCAAAACAATCAAGTATATATAGAAAGGAAAAACTAATGCCAGCCATCAAATAAACATAGAGAGGGGCAACTATTCTATTCAGAGCTACATCTCTCAAATGACAGAAGACATGCTGTTTCCCTGATACTGGACTCTGGAGAGAGGTAGGCAGGTCTTTCGAACCTCTCTGGAAGGGGATTTAAGCCTTTCTGCAAACAATTTATGTAGACTAGTAAAAAAGGACTGAAGAAAAAATAAACCCTAAACTAGCATAAAATATCAACTCAGAAACTATGATCCTAAAAGAAAGTAATTATATAAGAAACGGCAATCTTTTTTTTTTAAAAAAAGTGAATTTTAGAAAGAGCTAAAATTATTTTTTGTCATTTTTTTAAAATTTTTTGTTGTTAGAGCTAAAATTATTATATTCAACAAGAGTTTAATTAACGTAGCATGATTCAGAAAATACAAAAGAATTTGTGACTAAGTCACATGAACGTCAAGTTGAGGCTTCCCTTGGATGAGGATAAGCCCATTGTTCAAATCACTTTTTGTAAGCTTAACTACTAATTAAGAGGCAACATCACTGATGAAAGCTTTCAGCTATTTTTTTTTTTTGTCAACTTACTAAATATATTTTAAGGCAAAATAAGGTTTTCCCACATGACAAAATGAAGGGATTTTTTGATGCGTTAAACATAACCTGCCTAGAAGTGTGGCATTATGATAGTTTTATTTATAACTAGTATGCTTACATACCTTTGCTGAAACTGCTAATGTGCAGGCAATACCCAACTCTCCACCTCCAACCACAGTAATTTTATTGGGTGTTTTATTCTCATGATTTGCCCAGCTCTTTGAATTTATATCTGAAACACCTAGAAAGAAAAGTAGATGATCCTGAGAATTCAAAAATATCAAAAATCTTTTTAGGATCTTTAAAAATATATATAGCAGGCTTCATAGCTCAGAGAGAAAAGACGGGGCTAGTCCATAATGGGCTCTCAAAAAATACTACCGAACAAATAAATGCAAGGAAGACAGATGTCTCTTATTAAATATTTGACTAAATAGAAATTATCTACCTAAAAAGAAAGTATCTTTCTAAACATTTAAAAAAAATCATATAAGACTCTAAAAAAAGTAGCATTTTCATAATCCTGAAAATATTCCAACTCATTGCTCTGGTCTACAATACAAAAATGTGTCGAACACTTTACCAAAATGTTTCAAGCATAGGTATTTGTCTTTATCCTTAATGAGAATTATGGAGAATCACAGATATTCTGATCCAGTATACTGAATAAGCCAACAAGCTACATATACATATTGTGAAAAGGGTTTGGGATCATTAAATGTATCAAGTGGCATTAAACAATACAAGAACTGTTTTATCTGTTTAAGACTAATTCTTTTCATTTTAAGAAACCTGGCCGAGAACAGTGGTTCATGCCTATAATCCCACAACTTTGGGAAGCTGAGGCACGAGGATCACCTGAGGTCAGGAATTCAAGACCAGCCTGGTCAACATGGTGAAACCCTGTCTCTACTAAAAATACAAAAATTGGCCGGGCACACCTGTAGTCCCTGCTACATGGGAGGCTGAAGCAGAAGAATGGCTTGAACCCAGAAAGGCAGAGGGTGCAGTGAGCCCAGATGGTGCCACTGCACTCCAGCCTGGGCAACACAGCAAGACTCCATCTCAAAAAAAAAACAAAAAAACATATTTATTGGAACTATATGGTAATATCCTATATTACACAGGAATTTATTTTCTTCTTCTTTTTTTTTGTTTTTGGAGACAGAGACTTGCTCTATTGTCCAGTCTGGAGCGCAATGGCACAGTCTCAGCTCACTGAAACCTCTGCCACCCGGGTTCAAGTGATTCTCCCACCTCAGCCTCCCAAGTGGCTGGGATTGATTACAAGCAGCTGTCACCACGCCTAGCTAATTGTTGTATTTTCAGTAGAAACAGGGTTTCATCATGTTGGCCAAGCCGGTCTCGAACTCCTGACCTCAGATGATCCTCCTACCTTGGCCTCCTAAAGTGCAGGGATTACAGGCGTGAGCCACCGTGCCAGGCCTGAGGCACAGGAATTTCTTATTTCAGAATCAGATGTATATATGCACACATTTTTTTTTTTTGAGACAGAGACTCACTCTTGTTGCCCAGACTAGAGTGCAACAGCACAATCTCGGCTCACTGCAACCTATGCCTCCTGGATTGAAGTGATTCTCCTGCCTCAGCCTCCCAAATAACTGGGATTACAGGCATGTGCCACCACGCCCAGCTAATTTTTGTATTTTTAGTAGAGACGAGGTTTCACCATGTTGGTCAGGCTGGTCTTGAACTCCTGACCTCGAGTGATCCTCTGCCTCCTTAAGTGCTGGGATTACAGGTGTGAATCACCTGTGCCCAGCCTAAATTTATTTATAAAAATCAAGTGGCTGAAAGTAAAGGATTTTAGTGAGAAACTGGTAACTCAAACTCTCAAGACAATCTGCCTAACAAATATACAAACCTTCAGTGATTTTTGCAATATAGGCTAGCAAGTCTACCTGCCGTGCCTCATCAGATGAAGATAGAGAATACAGGGGAAGTTCCTCTTGAAACTTGGCAATCATTTCTTTAATTAATCCAACAATGACAGATTTAGGCTGTAGAATACACAAAAAACAAAAGTTACACAAAAATTTTGCAGAAGAATACTACCTTTTTTGAGGCTGGGGTATCACTTGGACCGAGGAATTTGAGATGCAGTGAGTTATGGTTGCACCACTATACTCCAGCTTGGGCAACAGAGTGAGACTTTATCTCAAAACAAAACAAACAAAAAAACTTCCTTAACCTATACATTCTTTTAGAGTTAGTCAAAAAGAAGTATTCAATCATGTTCTCATATTTTGAAAACCATCATACAAATTATATAATACTTTTAACTGCTGTAATGCTTTTCACTGAAAAATGATTGAATACTTTTAACTGAAAAATAAAGGAAGAAGAAATGCTAATTTAACATCTCCCAAAAGTAGAAAAATAGCATGAATATGCTTAATAGCCTAATACCTAGGTTTGGGAACTGTCTCTTTTTTTTTTAACTTTTCATTTTGAAATAACTTCAGACTTATAGAAAAGTTACAAAAATAGGCCGGGTGCGGTGGCTCAAGCCTGTAATCCCAGCACTTTGGGAAGCTGAGACGGGTGGATCACGAGGTCGAGAGATCGAGACCATCCTGGTCAACTTGGTGAAACCCCGTCTCTACTAAAAATACAAAAAATTAGCTGGGCATGGTGGCGCGTGCCTGTAATCCCAGGAGGCGGTGTTGCGGTGAGCCGAGATCGCGTCATTGCACTCCAGCCTGGGTAACAAGAGTGAAACTCCGTCTCAAAAAAAAAAAAAAAAAGAAAAGTTACAAAAATAGTACATATACTCTTCGCCCAGATTACTCAAACGTTAACATTTTATCACATTTGCTTGTTTAGTTTCTCTCTAGTTTTTCCAAACAAACTGAACAAGTAAACTGCAAACATGATGTGCTTTTACCCCAAGTACTTTAGTGTATATCTCCTAAAAGAAAAAGACATTCTCCTACATAGCTATTATCAAAGCAGAAAATTAACACTGTTAAAATACTATCTAGTCTGGTACTATTTTCTTTCAGTGTAACTGGTTAAGCCACCTTGATGAAATTCATGAGCCTTTCTGAGCTTCAGTGTCATCGGTAACACAATGTGAATAATAAATTCCAAATGGTTGTTATGAGCAATAAATGAGCTAATGAATGCAAACTAAACACTGTGAGTGTAAAACAGATGTTTATTATTATTCTTACGAATACTTAGAACTACGCTCACTTAAAAAGTGCTTATTTTTTCAGAGTCTATGTTTCACTATTCATAAAGTAAAAAGATGAAGCCATTAGGGCAAAGAATTCAAATACCTTTGGGGACCAAGCAGATAACATCAAATGTGTAAAGCTGCCAAGTATAAGAAAACTGGGAGAGATGGTTATTGTGGCAAATTGGAAAGAGCATGCCTACAGGCATCCAAATTCATATTAATAACAAAACAAAACCAACTGTGCTCAAACAAATTCTGTAGGCCTAACACAGCCCTCTGAATCTCTTGGGGAAATTGCAATCTCTGGCCTAGATGACCTTTAGATTCCTTCTAGCTCCAAAGTTCTATATAATTATGCTACATAATTATAATTCCAAATGCATGTGGAATTTAAAAGTACTTCAGTACTTTTAAATAGGGCAATTTAAATAATGTAATGTCTTTTTAAGACTAGTTTTAAGGCTGGGCACTGAGGCTCACATCTATAATCCCATCACTTTGGCAGGCTGAGGCGGGACGATGCCTTGATCCCAGGAGTTCAATTGCAGCCTGGGCAACATAGAGAGATCCTGTCTGTATAAAAAATTTAAAAAATTAGCGGGACATGGTGGACCATGATTGTAGTCCCAGCTACTCAGAAGGCTGAGGTGGGAAAATCACTTGAGCCCAGGAATTTGAGGTTGCAGCGAGCTATGACTGTGCTTCTGCACTTCAGTGTAGGTGACACAGCATGACCCTATCTCAAAAAAAGAGACTAGTTTTAGTTTATAACAAAGAGGCTCAGCACACTAAATTAAAATCAGTACTGTCTAAACTAAAATTAAGCACAACCTTCACTAGACTGTAAGACTATCCCAGCTGGACGTGATGGCTCACGTCTGTAATCCCAGCACTTTGGGAGGCTGAAGCAGGTGGATCACGAGATCAGGAGTTCAAGACCAGCCTGGCCAAGATGGTGAAACCCTGTCTCTACTAAAAAAAAAAAAAAAAAAAAAAAAAATTAGCCGAGTGTGGTGGCATGGCAGTTGTGATTCCAGCTACTCGGGTGGCTGAGTCAGGGGAATTGCTTGAACTCAGGAGGCGGAGGTTGCAGTGAGCTGAGATCACACAGCTGGGCGACAGAGCTAGACTCTGTCTCAAAAAAAAAAAAAAAAAAAAAAGACTATCCCTGAGCATTTACTAAACAAAATTATTAAAAGAGAGAAGAAATAGGATACATGAATTCCTGCAACATGGCACAGATGTCCAAATACTGTTTGAGGATAGTTTTGTTTTGTTTAAAGAAGGATGTAATAATGAATGAAGGAGATAAACAGACAATTCAAAAAGGAAGAAACATGACTGATAAGTAAATGAAAATGATTTCAATTTCTCAACTAACTAGGTAACTGAAAATTAAGAGTACGATCCATTTTTGTCCTTCCAACTGACAAATTTTTATTATGCCCCATTCATCACATTTAACTAGAAATCTTATTTAAATCATCAGGTAATGCAAATAACATAAATGTTCGTAAGGTAAAATGTCAACTCCTACTACTGATAATCTGAAGTGTGTCCTTTGTTTTTCTTTCTTTTTTCTTCTTTTCAAATGCTTTCTATATAAAAAAATATAGAAAAACCATAAAACAAAGTGAAATACATCCACAATAACACACTTTTTAATGAGCTGTCTAATAAAATAAGAAGTAATAATCCTAAGGCATTTTTTTTTTTTGAGATGGAGTTTCCCTCTTGTTACCCAGACTGGAGTGCAATGGCGCGATCTCGGCTCACCGCAACCTCTGCCTCCTGGGTGCAGGCAACTCTGCCTCAGCCTCCTGAGTAGCTGGGATTACAGGCACGCGCCACCGTGACCAGCTAATTTTTGTATTTTTAGTAGAGACGGAGTTTCACCTTGTTGACCAGGATGGTCTTGATCTCTTGACCTCGTGATCCACTTACCTCGGCCTCCCCAAGTGCTGGGATTACAGGCGTGAGCCACCGCGCCCAGCACCCTAAGGCATTCTTTACTCCAACCACACTCCCAACATACTCCTGTTCTCCAGCCCTATTAGCTTTCTGGTTACATACAAACATATTATAAATTATCCTTTTACAAAATTTTTAATTATTTACAAAAATGAGAGAATACTATACATCTGTCTAAACCAATGTATAGAGATAGGCAAAGGTTTGTTTTAAGGATAATAACTTCTATTAGACAAAAGGTACTGTAAAATAGGTACTATCCTACACTGATTTCTACTGATTATAGAAATGTATCATTTTGTCTACCTTTTTGGAGGCCGATTTGGTAATATATAAGAAAATCTTAAAAATACTGAAAACCTATGATCCAATAATTCTATTCCAAGAGACTTATCATTAGGAAACTATGAAAGATACATTAGATATACGTAAATATTTTCACTTGAAGATGTTCATCATTAAATGTCTTATAATAGGGCGATTTGTAAATACAATAAGTAATATCCTTACACTGGATCATCAGGCAACCATTAAAAACCACATATTTTTAAAACAGTTTAACATGGAGAAATGCTCAGTCTAATGGTCAATGAAAAATGCAGAATACAAAATTATGTAACATGAGGATATAAAACAAATACTACAGTTATATAGACCAATGTGGATGAATTTTTAAAACTTGATATTGGTTAAAACAAAGCATGTCAACAGGGCATGGTGGCTCACACCTGTAATCCCAGAACTTTGGGAGGTTGAGGCAGGTGGATATCACCTGAGGTCAGGAGTTTGAGACCAGACTAGTCAACATGGTGAAACCATGTCTCTACTAAAAATACAAAAAATTAGCTGGGTGTGGTGGCGCACACCTATAATCCCAGCTACTCGGGAGGCCGAGGCAGGAGAATCACCTGAACCTGGGAGGTGGAGGTTGCAGTGAGCTGAGATCACACCACTGCTCTCCAGCCTGGGCGACAGAGCAAGACTATGTCTTAGAAAAAAACCAAAAAGAAAGCATGTCATAAAAATTTCACACAGTATGATTCAACTTATATGAAAGTCCAAAACAGGCAAAACTATAAATATATATATATATGTAAATAATGCCCCAATCACTTGCTAGTAACTCTTCCTGTACTTTCTCAAGTGGGAAATGACTATTAAAAGACAGAGCAAACAACAGTTGGCTTCAAAACCTGGACGGAACAGCTTTGTATAGGCAGTTTTCACCAGGGTTCTGGGACTTGGGTAACCCTAGAGAGCTTGATTTCAAATTACTTCCAAAGACCACATGAAGAATATCATTGAAAGAAAATGCACTTATTATACTTATTTGTACCAGCAGAATCAATGATAAATATTCCAAGAAAAAAGCTTTCTGAAGAAAACCCAAACTGATCTTACATGGCTCCAGTTTTGGAGATAGGGCAAATATATTCGGCCTTGAGCATCCACGTGTTTTCCGACTGAGATTCCCATATTTGCAGTTGGCTTCAAGAAGCAAATAGGGGGAGCAAAAGGGTGAGAATCCAAAATCCAGAAACGAATTGGTATGTTATATGTATTTCCTATTTAAAACAAAAGAAACATATCTTCAAATGATAATGAAACACACACATTATGTTTATAATATAGCTAGGTAGCATTTTTTTTTTGAGATGGAGTCCCACTCTGTCGCCAGGTTGGAGTGCAGTGGCGCAATCTTGGCTAACTGCAACCTCCGCCTCCTGGGTTCAAGTGATTCTCGTGCCTCAGCCTCCCGAGTAGGTGGGATTACAGGCATACGCCACCACATCTGGCTAGTTTTTGTATTTTTAGTAGAGATGGGGTTTCACCATGTTGGCCAGGATGGTCTCAATCTCCTGACCTCGTGATCTGCCTGCCTTGGCCTCCCAAAGATTACAGGTGTGAGTCACTGCACCTGGCGGCTAGGTGGCATTTTAAGAAATGACTAGGCTAGGTGAAGTGGCTAAAGCCTGTAATCCCAGCACTTTGGGAAGCCAAGATGAGCAAATCACGTAAGCCTAGGAGTTTGAGACCAGCCTGGGCAACATGGAGAAACCCTGCTCTATAAAAAATTTTAAAATTAGCTGGGTATGGTGGCACACATCTATAATCACAGCTACTGGGGAGGCTGAGGTAGGCAGATGACTTGAGCCTAGGAGGTCAAGTTTGCAGTGAGCCATGATTGTACCACTACACTCCTGCCTGGGTGACAGAGTGAGACCCTGTCTAAAAAAAAAAAAAAGAAAGAAAAATGAATAGTCTAGTCAGGTTTACATATAAAGGATTAATGTAAAGTAAGGCCTATTTCCCATATTTGATCCATACTCACATTGGAAATACGTTCCTATTAGAGCACTGGTATAACACTTAAGTAAGTTTAATTAAAACAATGGCCAAGTCATCCACCTGTCTCTACAAAAAAAAAAAAAAAAAAAGAAAAATCAAATTTTCAAAAACTTTTAGTCATATAGTTGGAGTGCCAGCCCAAATCCTTGATGGAGCCACTTCCTGCATTAATCACTACACATTAAAGAAAAGGAAGGATATGTCTACTGAAGGTAGGGTGTAGTGGCTCACGCCTGTAAATGTCAGCATTTTGGGAGGCCAAGGCAGGCAGATCACTTGAGGTCAGGGGTTCGAGACCAGCCTGACCAACATGGTGAAACCCCGTCTCTACTAAAAATACAAAAAATTAGCCAGGCGTAGTGGTGAGCACTTGTAATCCCAGGTACTTGGGTGGGAGGCTGAGGCACGAGAATCACTTGAACCCAGGAGGTGGAGGTTGCAGTGAGCTGAGATTGTGCCACTGCACCCCAGCCAGAGTGACAGAGTGAGGCACTCTCTCAAAAAAAAGTCTACTGAAGGCATTCCCCTGGTTGATCAAGAATCTGCTGCCTGCCCAAAGTAATTTACAGAATCAATGCTATCCCCATCAGGCTACCATTGACTTTCTTCACAGAACTGGAAAAAACCACCATGAACTTCATATGGAACCAAAAGAGAGCCTGCATAGCCAAGTCAATTCTAAGCAAAAAGAACACAGTGGGAGGCATCATACTACCGGACTTCAAACTGTACTACAAGGCTACAGTAATCAAAACAGCATGGTACTGGTACCAAAACAGATATAGACCAATGGAACAAAACAGAGGCATCGGAGGCAACACAACGTATCTACAACCATACAATCTTTGATAAACCTGACAAAAATAAGCAATGGGGAAAGGATTCCCTGTTTAATAAATGGTGTTGGGAAAACTGGCTAGCCATGTGCAGAAAACAGAAACTGGACCCATTCCTGACACCTTACACTAAAATCCAGATGGATTAAAGACTTAAACATAAGACCTGATACCATAAGAACCTTAGAAGAAAATCTAGGCAAAACCATCCAGGACATAAGAGTAGGTAAGGACTTCATGACCAAAACACCAAAAGCATTGGCAACAAAAGCCAAAATAGACAAATGGGACCTAATCAAACTCCACAGCTTCTGCACGGCAAAAGAAACAGTCATGGGCCGGGTGCAATGGCTCAAGCCTGTAATCCCAGCACTTTGGGAGGCCGAGGCGGGTGGATCACGAGGTCAAGAGTTCGAGACCATCCTGGTCAACATGGTGAAACCCCGTCTCTACTAAAAATACAAAAAATTAGCTGGGCATGGTGGCGCGTGCCTGTAATCCCAGCTATTCAGGAGGCTGAGGCGGGAGAATTGCCTGAACCCAGGAGGCGGAGGCTGCGGTGAGCCGAGATCGTGCCATTGCACTCCAGCCTGGTTAACAACAGCGAAACTCCGTCTCAAAAAAAAAAAAAAAAAAAAAAAGAAACAGTCACTAGAGTGAATCAGCAACCAACAGAATGGGAAAAAAATTTTGCAGTTTACCCATCTGACAAAGGGCTGATATCCAGAACTTATAAAGAACTCAAACAGATCTACAGGAAGAAAACAAGCCCATTCAAAAATGGGCAAAGGATATGAACAGACACTTTACAAAAGAAGACATACATGAGGGCAACAAACATTTGAAATAATGCTCATCATCACTGGTCATTAGAGAGATGCAAATCAAAACCACATTGAGATACCATCTCACGCCAGTTAGAATGGTGATCATTAAGAAATCTGGAGACAACAGATACTGGAGAGGATGTGGAGAAACAGGAACACTTTTACACTGTTGGTGGGGGTGTAAATTAGTTCAATCATTGTGGAAGACAGTGTGGCGATTCCTCAAGGCCTTAGAAATAGAAATTCCATTTGACCCAGCAATCCCATTACTGGGCATATATCCAAAGGACTATAAATCGTTCTACTATAAGAACACATGCACATGAATGTTCACTGTAGCACTGTTTACGATAGCAAAGACCTGGAACCAACCCAAATGCCCATCGATGATAGACTGGACTGGGAATATACACCATGGAATATTATGCAGCAATCAAAAATGATGAGTTCGTGTAGGGACATGGATGAATCTGGAGAACATCATTCTCAGCAAACTGACACAAGAACAGAAAATGAAATACTGCATATTCTCACTTATAGACGGGTGATGAAAAATGAGGACACATGGACACAGGGAAGGGAGTAATACACACTGGGGTCTATTGGGGGGAATAAGGGAGGGACAGCAGTTGGGGGGAGCAGGGGAGGGATAGCCTGGGGAGAAAAGCCAAATGTGGGTGCAGGGGAGGAAGGCAGCAAAACACACTGCCATGTGTGTACCTATGCAACTATCTTGCATGTTCTGCACATGTACCCCAAAACCTAAAATGCCATTTAAAAAAAAAAAAAAAAAAAAAAAAAAGAAATAATGGAGAGGGCAATAAAATGGAAATTCAGAGACAAAAAAAAAAAAAAAAAAGAATCTGCTGCCTCCAATGCCCCTCCACAGCCGTATTCATGCATTTTAACAGCCCATGACTGGCAAAGCACCTGGTGACTCAGATTCCTGTGTCTAAAAAAGATTCCACCACTGGTATTCGCTGGTCTCTTCTTCCTTCTCCCTTTCCCATCAGCAAATACCTTGACTCCTACCCTGCACATCTAGATTTTAGTAATTCAGCACTGAAGAGTCTGAACTCCTAATACAAAGTCCTCAAATATAAAGGAATTAGAAGAATGTAACTTAACTTTGGATGTAAACAAAGTTTAGATAGGTGTGATCTTAAGATGATACATTGGGATGCCAAAATGGGAAGACAGCTTGAGTCCAGGAGTACAAAAGACCAGCCTGGACAACATATCAAGACCCTGGTGTGGTAGCGTACATCTGTAGTACTAGCTACTCAGGAGGCTGAGGCCAGAAGAGTATCTGAGCCCAGGAATTTGAGGTTACAATTAGCTATGATCATATCACTGTACTCTAGCCTAGGCAACAGAGCAACACTCTCTCACCTAAAAGAAAAAAAAGATTATCTACATCTCTAAAAAAATGACTGTATGAAGTATAATTATTACTTAACACAATGTTGGCTGAATAAGAAATAACACCAAAAATTTCTACAGGTATACATAAGGTAATATTAACAGAAATTTCATGTAGATTGGAGGTTAGATATAGGCTTAACCTCATCTCTTCCCAAATGTTTAAATGCTTTTTCATCATAAGCATGTATAATCATTACACTAATAAGACTAGTTAACTAAAAGAGAGTAATAAAGGCAGACAAATAATAATGGCCACATTTATTGAGCATTTACTATATGCCAGGCATTATGCCAAGAGCTTTACTTACTCTAACTCATTTAAGCCTTACAACTCTGAGGTGGGCTCTAGTATTGGCCCAGTTTACAGATGAGAAAGATAATATACATTCCGATCTTCTGATCAGTAGGAAATAACTAGTGTGCATTCACATTAAGTTGATATAATTCAAAGCAAAGGAAAAGAAAAGTGTAATGCAGGAAAACAAGTTGGGGAGGGGCACCTAAGGAAGACCCTATCGTAAGAATCAATGACATAACTCAATGACTACAGGACAGGCTTACTGACATTGGGCGGGACTTTACCAATGGTATTAAGACAACCTTTCTGCCCTCATGTTACCTCCCTACTCTGTATTAGAAACTGAAATGCTACTAAGCAGTAATTCATTTAAATTCACAACTTCCTCTGTTAATATGCAACTACCCTTCAAAACACTGGGCTGGGTAAGAATTGGCCTTTATCTCTCAGAACGAATCACTTTAATCAGTTTCCTTCCCTCTTCCTCTCCTTTCCTCCTTTCCCTAATACCCTTCTCTTACCTTTCTTTTCAACATCTAACCAAGATAAATTCAGAATACAACCTAAGGGGAACAGGTCTGAGTAAAATTCTCTACGCAGCCAGGAATGTCTGAAAACTTGCCTGGGAAGAGCAAGGAAAGAAGAGAAAAATCAACTCTATGCCGGTTCTGCCTATCTCACTCTGCAATCTCTGCATGGAGCCCACGGCTAGCTGCTTTCATACCCATCCATTCTCCTATGCATAAAAACAAAATGAATTACTACACATTTCCTGAGTGCCTACTATTGCAAAAGGAGATATCATGGTGGGACATACACAGAAGCAGAACAAAGCATGAGTGCATCTCCAGCAGCAAGTCATTGCTGGGGGCGAAGAATGGGGGAATTAAGAGGGCCTGTGATAATCCAGGAGCTATCATAAAGAAGCACATACTGTGAAAGAAGTTCTCCCAAATGCAGCTTCCTAGTGTTTTTTGGGCAATGTATTCTCATTGTACAATGCTGAACTCTTTAAGAGATAGCAAGTTACGCTGTTCTCTCCCTATTTGGCTTCCAGATCTTTCTCAGCCCTCTTTTCAGTGTATCTATTTGGCTTCCAGATCTTTCTCAGCCCTCTTTTCAGTGTATCTTCTGACATGCCCCAGTAAGCCAGTTATTCCTAAGCCCTTCAGTCAATAATCAAACTAACTCAACTATTCAACAAATACCAAATAAGCAAATGTACTATAAGCACATCACTGTATATTAGTGATTTTGGATGTTATTCTTCCCAGTATTATTTGCATTTCAAAAGAACAGCGAACTTTTTTTTTATTTTTGAGACTGAGGCTTACTCTGTCACCCAGGCTGGAGTGCAGTAGCATGATGTCAGCTTACTGCGACCTCTGCCTTCCAGGTTCAAGAGATTTTCCTGCCTCAGCCTTCTGAGTAGCTGGGATTACAGGCGCATGCTATGAGGCCTGGCTAATTTTTGTATTTTTAGTAGAGATGGGGTTTCACCATGTGGGCCAGGCTGGTCTCGAACTTCTGACCTCAAGTGATCTGCCCATCTTGGCCCCCTAAAGTGCTGGGATTACAGGCATGAGCCACCACATCCAGCAAGAACAGTGAATTTCTAATGGTGAAATTTCAGGCACCGTTTCAGAGAAATATTTGGAACCAAAGATTCATTGGTATTCTTAAAATCATACTATACATAAGCAACCTCTTGCAATTCTTATCCGAAAGGTTAGTCCTTGTTGAACACAAGAGAAGTAGGTCTGGACAAATGGGAAGAGTTAAGTATAAGAAAAGTCAGTGATTTTTTTTTCCTTTATTTTTGGGCAAACACTTAGCTATTTTAAACTGTTAGGTCACTCTAAAATGTGTTCCTTTCTTTGAGCTTTAATGACCTCTGTGTTGCAAAATTTTCCTATTGGACTTTGAGTTTCAGGCTAACACTAGCTATGTGATCTTAGGTAAATCAGACAAGGCTAAGATTCAGTTTCAACTATGGAGTGGAGATAATGCATATCACACAGAGAGGAAAGAAGGGGAACAAAATATAGAAATAATGAAGAAAAAGGTGCGAGCCCTACACTTTGCTATGGAAAACAGAGATGAATCTCCCCAAGGGCAGGCCTATGTCCATTTTGCTTTCCTTCGTATCCTGGAACCTACCAGAGTAGGGGGCACATAGTTGACAATAAGTAACTGTTGAACTGAACTTAACTTGCTGACATTAATATAGGCCTTCCTTGACTGGAACAGATCCAGTAAGGTTCTGCATAGGTCATGTATCTGCAAGAATACTTTGGGAATGTTATAGCATAAAAAAATGTCAGTTATCAAATGAACTCCTCTTTTAGAAAACTCCCATATTTTCTCAACTTCCACACTTACCCTGATAGATCACAGGAATAGTGCCGGCAAAATTCAGCAGGTTTTTCTGGGAACTATCTTTAAAAACTGGAAGAAAAAAGCCCCAAAATGTGCAATCAGAAATAGAAAGAACTGTAGTAAAGTATGTATGTATGCACAGGTGTGTGCTCATAAGTACACACACAAATACACACACAACGTCTAAACATAATCTAGGAATAGGTAAATCTCTCAACAAGAGGAAATGACTAGATGATGTTTACTTAGAAAGCAGTGAGGTAGCTGAAAGAATACAGGACTTTGATACTGAAACCCCAAGTTCTGGGGCCATCTTCCCTGCTTAGACGAATGTGACTTTTGGTGACCTTAATCATCTTTGATCCTCAGTTTCATCATCTATAAAATAAAGATAATACGACTGCCTTACATAGTTCTCATAAGGATCAAATGAGAGAATGAGAAAACTCTTAATAAGTACTATGGGCCAGGTGCAGTGGCTCACGCCTGTAATCCCAGCACTTTGGGAGGCCAAGGCAGGTAGATCACAAGGTCAGGAGTTCAAGACCAGCCTGGCCAAGATGGTGAAACCCCATCTCTACTAAAAATACAAAAATTAGCCAGATGTGGTGAAAGGCACCCGTAATCTAAGCTACTCAGGAGGCTGAGGCCAGGAGAATCACCTGAACCCGGGAGGCAGAGGTTGCAGTGGCAAGCCAAGCAGCTGAGATTATAGGTGCCTGCTACCATAGTTGACTAATTTTTGTATTTTTAGTAGTGAGCCGAGATCATGCCACTGCACGCCAGCCTAGGTGACAGAGAAAGACTCCATCTTAAAAAAAAAAAAAAAAAAGAAAGAAAGATAATAAAGTAAAAGCTTCCTTAGATAACCAGATTCTTACTATTAATTGAACAGGATAACTAAAACTTTGTTAATAATTTAGAATTGGGGGGTGGGGGGGCGGCCCTGGAATAGGGGCTGTGGCGGTATGCGGGGACCCACCTGCGGTGGCTGAGGAGAAACTGCTAAAGTTCTTGGGGAAGCAAAGTAGAATTTTTAATAAGAACAAAATGGATGGAGAGGAGAAAACCTATGGTGGCTGTGAAGGCCCTGATGCCATGTATGTCAAATTGATATCATCTGATGACCATGAATTTATTGTAAAAAGAGAACATGCATTAACATCAGGCACAATAAAAGCCATGTTGAGTGGCCCAAGTCAATTTGCTGAGAATGAAACCAATGAGGTCAATTTTAGAGAGATACCTTCACATGTGCTATCAAAAGTATGCATGTATTTTACGCTACACTAACAGCTCCACTGAGATTCCTGAATTCCCAGTTGCACCTGAAATTGCACTAGCACTGCTGATGGCTGCGAACTTCCTAGATTGTTAAATAAAATAAATTATAATAAACTGTTAACTCTTTTCAGTATTTAATACCTGTAGTTCAGTTAGTAATTTTTTCTTATATAGCATGTTGCCTGTATGCAGCTGAACTGTATAAAGTTCAGAAGCAGATTATCTTCTTTTTTTCATTTTCTGCATGGCAATCAAAGTTGAAATTCGTTTGCTACATCAACAAAGTAAGGACATTTTCACAAACTGAGAAATAAACAATATGCCAGTTCGTAGGTGGTTTTGCCTTATCCTTTGAATGTGACTTAAAATCAGCAATGATGATATAGTAAATACTGAAATTTAGGCATAAATGAACACATTCTACAGGGAAATAATGGGGCTAAGTAGTTTTGTGCTTTTTTTAAAGAAATCTATTCTGATCTTACAGCCGCTGTTAGCATTTACTAGAGTTATGCAAATAATTGCATTATAAACATGTTTATAACTTAGACAAAACATTGATTTTATAACTCTCCAAGTATGAGTTGAAATTTCTTATGTCTTTTGATAAACTGCAGTATTCTTAAAAATAATAATAATTTAGAATCAACCATATATATGATAGGCAGAATAAAGGTCCTCCAAAGATGTCTATATCCAACCCTTGGAACCCGTGATATGTCACCTCACTTGGCAAAGGGACTTCTGAGACATGATTAAAGACTGTGATCACTTGACTAGCCTTTAAAAAAAATTAAGGAGTCTGAGATGAAGACCCATCCCCTGTGCTACTGGGATGGGTCTAATCTAATCACATTGGTCCTTAAAAGCAGAGAATCTCTCCCAGCTGTGGTCAGAGGGCAATTTTCCTATAGAAGAATGGCTAGAGACATCCAGCACTGCTGGCTTTGAAGATGGAGAAAGCAGACCAAGAGCCTAGAAATGTGGGTGACCTCTAGAAACTGAAACTCAAGGAAACAGATTATCCCTCAGAGCCTCCAGAGACAAAGGCAGCTGACACCTAGATTTTAGCCAAGTCAAACTCCAGTTGAGCTTCTAAGCTACAGAAATGTGTGTTGGACTTCTTGCCTACAGGATTGTAACATAGTAAATGTGTGCTTTTTAAAGCCACTAAGTTTGTGGTAGTTTGTTACAGCAGCAATAGAAAACTAACACAAGATATATTGTATTAATTTAAGCTTTCTCAGAAATTGCAGGTCACAAAGTATAGCTGAAAATCAGAAGATAAAAGAGAAAATGAGAAACTACAATTTTGCAGCTCTTTAGGGCCAAAAATTAGTAGTTCCAATAATGCAGCATTTAAATTAGAAAACATGATTCTTACCATAGGTGTCCATGGAATATTTGAAATGCGGGAAAAACATATTTACATTCTTTAGTTCTTCCACAGTTAGGTCCCTGAACTTGTACTGAAAAGAGAAAAATAAGCATGGAGTAAGAATAAAGCTCTGAGCAAAAGAACAATTGCAGTTAACATTTAACTGACAATTTACCATGTGCTAGGCCCTGGGCTCTGAGCTTTACGAATATGTATAGTATTTAATTTTTTTTAAAACCAAAAACCCTACAACATAGGGAGGGCTTTACAATTGCTCTACAGAAGCAGGAGAAGAAATGAAAGCTAGCGGATCAAAGTAACTTGCTGAGTCAGATAGCAAGTTAAATAGTGAAGTCAGAGCTCAAATCCAGGACCAGGGTCTTGAATGTCTAAATCAAACTGCCTCCAAATATCTCCAGAAGGCTTAAGAGATGAGGCAGAATCAATCACCCCTCTTACCACTGTTCAAGATCCAACTGTCTTTTTGGCATAGCTCATTCACTTGAGATACCTCAACTTCCCCTCCCACCTTCCTGGCACTGCATCCTGGGTTTCAATTGGAAAACAAAAGCACACAAGGTTTTACAGTCAGGTGTGTAACTGTCTCTTCATTTATCCACATGTCTTCTCAGAGATACTAACTTGGTTGTCTTGTGAACAAAATCATTTAAATTCTTTAAGCCTATTTTCTCACCTGCAAAAATTAATAATATTTATCTCTTACACTAGCGGTTAGTTTTAAATGAAAGAAAAGAAGTATATTAAGAGTTTACCATTCTGAAAATGGACTTGAGAAAACAATTCCTTTTACAATGGCATCAAAAAGAATAAAATATTTAAGAATAAATTTTGCTGGGTGGGGCGGCGGGTGCCTGTAGTCCCAGCTACTCAGGAGGCTGAGGCTGGAGGATCGCTTGAGTCCAGGAGTTCTGGGCTGTAGTGTGCTATGCCGATGGGGTGTCTGCACAAAGTTTGGCATCAATATGGTGACCTCCCGGGAGCGGGGGACCACCAGGTTGCCTAAGGAGGGGTGAACCGGCCCAGGTCAGAAACGGAGCAGGTCAAAACTCCCGTGCTGATCAGGAATAAATTTAACAAGGTACCAAACTTAGACTCTGAAAACTGTATAACATTGTTGAGAAAAATAAAATAGACCAAAGTAAATGGAAAGCATCCCTTGTTTATGGATTTGAAGACAGTGTTGTTAAGATGGCAACATTCCTCAACAGACTCAACATAATCCCTATCAAAATCCCAGCTGGCGTGTGTGTGTGTGTGTGTGTGTGTGTGCGCGCGCACGCAAAAATCTGCAGATTCTAAAATTCAGATGGAAATTCAAGGGACCAAGAATAACCAAAACAATCAGGAAAAAGAACAAAACAGCTGGTGAATTCATACTATAATCAAAAGACAGGCTATAATCAAAAGGAGAAAATAACAAGTTTTGGAGAGGATGTAAAGAAATCAGAACTCTCACACATACACCACTGCCAGTGGTAAAATGATGCAGCTGCTTTGGGAAACACCCTGGTAGTTCTCCAAAAGATTAAACACAGAGTCAGCGTTACCACATGACTGAGCCATTCCATTTCTAGGTATACACCCAAGAAAAATGAAAACAGGTATCTATACAAAAACTTGTACACAATTGTTCATAGCAGCATTTTTTTTCTTTTTTTTTGAGACAGAGTTTCGCTCTTGTTACCCAGGCTGAAGTGCAATGGCATGATCTCAGCTCACCACAACCTCCGCCTCCTGGGTTCAGGCAATTCTCCTACCTCAGCCTCCCGAGTAGCTGGGACTACAGGCGCGCGCCATCATGCCCAGCTAATTTTTGTATTTTTAGTAGAGACGGTGTTTTACCATGTTGACCAGGATGGTCTCAATCTCTTGACCTTGTAATCCACCCACCTCCGCCTCCCAAAGTGCTGGGATTATAGGCTGGAGCCACCTCGCCCAGTCAGCAGCATTATTAATAATAGCCAAAAAGTGAAAACAATCCAAATGTTTATTAACTAATGAATGGATAAATAAAATGCGGCATATCCATAAAATGAAATATTCAACCACAAAAAGGAATAAAGTGCTAATACATGCTACCACATGGATGAGCCTTAAAAACACTATGTAAGAAATTAGACAAAGGAAATGTCTGTCTCTGGTCTTGGCCAGAGGCCGTGCTTCCTAGAAAAAAAAAGTTTTTAAATAAAAGAAATGAAGTGTGGTGATTCCTCAAGGCCTTAGAAATAGAAATTCCATTTGACCCAGCAATCCCATTACTGGGTATATATCCAAAGGACTATAAATCGTTCTACTATACGGACACGTGCACAAGAATGTTCATTGCAGCACTGTTTACAATAGCAAAGACCTGGAACCAACCCAAATGCCCATCGATGATAGACTGGACTGGGAAAATGTGGCACATATACACCATGGAATATTATGCAGCAATCAAAAATGATGAGTTCGTGTCCTTTGTAGGGACATGGATGAATCTGGAGACCATCATTCTCAGCAAACTGACACAAGAACAGAAAATGAAATACCGCATATTCTCACTCACAGGCGGGTGACGAAAAATGAGAATGCATGGACACAAGGAGGGGAGCACTACACACTGGGGTCTATTGGGGGGAACAGGGGAGGGACAGCGGGGCGGGGGAGCTGGGGAGGGATAGCCTGGGGAGAAATGCCAAATGTGGGTGAAGGGGAGGAAGGCAGCAAAACACACTGCCATGTGTGTACCTATGCAGCTATCTTGCATGTTCTGCACATGTATCCCAAAACCTAAAATGCAATAAAAAAATTAAAAAATTAAAAAAATAAAAAATAAAAGAAATGAGACACAAAGGCTACATATTTTATAACTGCACGCATATGCAATATTTGGAACTGACAAATACATAGAAACACAAAGTAGACTAGTGGATACCTAGGATTGTGGGAGTTTGGGAGAAAATGGAAGAGGACTGCTAATGGATCCTGTTTCCTCTCTCAGAACCTTAAGTTTTTCACCTGCAAAAAAGATATAGCTCTACTGGCTACCAACTTCAACAGGTGTATATGAAATTCTTACAATTAACATATGTAAAAGAGAGATTATAAACAAACTATGTATACAACACTAAGTACAGGCAGCAAACTACAAATTGACAAAAAGAACATCTAAGTTACCGAAAGGCTTCTGGAGAAGCTCAATCTACATTTCAGCCTAGAGTCTAGAATGGTATAGACATTTAGGGATTAAGCCAGGCATGGTAGCTCACACCTGTAATCCCAGCACTTTGGGAGGCCAAGACCGGCAGATCACTTGAGGTCAGGAGTTTGAGACCAACATGGTGAAATCCTATCTCAACTGAAAATACAAAAATTAGGTGTGGTGGTATGCACCTGTAATCCCAGCTACTCTGGAAGCTGAGGCAGAAGAATCACTTGAACCCTGGATGTTACAGTGAGCCAAGATTGTACCACTGCACTTCAGCGACAGAGTGAGACTCTGTCTCAAAAAAAAAAAAAAAAAAAAAGGAAGATTGGGGGAAAGAGAGGTCATTCTAGGATGGGGAAGAATTTGCTAGAAGTCTGACTACAAACAACTTGAGGGCAGGAACAACCTGAAAACAGGAATTGTCTTTCACTCATTGTTCTATCTCTTCACAGTACTTAGTCAGGGTGTGCCTTTGATAGAGTTATGTTTTTTGGATGGGAGTTAGCAAACAGATTTATATGAGTAGTGTAGACATAGAAAGTAATTATGATCCACAGCATTGAGCATCAAAACTAACAAATGATCAGTATTAACTAAAACAGACTTCTTTAGTCTGTTGGGCAAAGTGAGTCCTAGATTCAGTGCCCATGATTCAGTGTAAACAAAACTGAATGAAGTCACTCCAACTCCAAACACTACACAAATGTAAAAAAGCCTGCATTGTTGTCACCTGGAATATATATATTATCAACAGATAGAATCTGTTTCATTTTCCACTATTTTCTACCTCCTTAAAATCATTGTAGAATGCTGGGAGCAGTGGCTCACGCCTGTAATCCCAGCACTTTGGGAGGCCAAGGCAGGAGGATTACCTGAGGTTGGGAGTTCAAGACCCATCTGACTAACATGGAGAAACTCTGTCTCTACTAAAAATACAAAATTAGCCAGGCATGGTGGCATGTGCCTATAATCCTAGCTACTTGGGAGGCTGAGGCAGGAGAATCACTGAACCTGGGAGGTGGAGGTTGCTGTGAGCCAAGATCACGTCATTGCAATACAGCCTGGGTAACAAGAGCGAAATTCCATCTCAAAAAAAAAAAAAAAATTACTGGAGAACATGATTATTAATAGCTATATAAGGCTACACTAGAATTGATTTAATTGCAAAATTACTATACAAGTTTGTCAAAGGCAGCAAAAGCACTCTTCTCGGGATTTAAAAACCCAAATGTCACTATTAAATATTTGCTGTTTTGACACCCCCCTTGCCAAAAAGGACTTCTTTTATCTGTCTTGAAGAAAATATTAGCTTTCGGGGGTAGGCGCGGTGGCTCACGCCTGTAATCCCAACACTTTGGGAGGCCGAGGCAGGCAGATCATGAGGTTAAGAAACTGAGACCATCCTGGTTAACACGGTGAAACCCCATCTCTACTAAAACACAAAAAATTAGTCAGGCGTGGTGGCATCTGCCTGTAGTCCCAGCTACTTGGGAGGCTGAGGCAGAAGAATCACTTAGAAACCTGGGAGGTGGAAGTTGCACCACTGCACTTGGCCCGGGTGACAGAGACTCTGTCTCAAAAAAAAAAAAGAAAATATTAACTTTTTTTTTTTTTTTTTTTTTTTTGGAGACAGAGTCTCTGTCACTCAGGCTGGAGTGCAGTAGCACAATCAGGTGTGCACCACCATGCCCGTATAACTTTTTAGTACTTTTTGAAAAGATGAGGTGTCACCATGCTGCCGAGGCTGCTCTTGAACTCCTGTGCTCAAGGGATCCGCCTGCTCCACCCTCCCAAAGTGCTGGGATTACAGGTATGAGCCACCGCACCCAGCCTTATTTTCACTACATATTAAACAGTGTATCTTCTCAGTGTAATTTTTTTTCTGAGACTGATTTTTGCTCTTGTTGCCCAGGCTGGAGTGCAATGGCACAATCTTGGCTCACCACAATCTCCATCTCCCAGGTTCAAGCGATTCTCCTGCCTCAGCCTCCCGAGTGGCTGGGATTACAGGAGCCTGCAATGACACCTGGCTAATTCTGTATTTTTTAGAGACACCTGGCTAATTTTGTATTTTTTAGAGACGGGTTCTCCATGTTGGTCAGGCTGGTTTCAAACTCCTGGGCTCAGATGATCTGCCCACCTGGGTCTCCCAAAGTGCTGGGTTTATAGGCATGAGCCACTGCACCCGGCCTGGTATCATTTATTAAAATAAATTTTTAGCAGGAAGGAATCTTATAGATCAAGTCCAGTATTGCCATTTTATGAGTGAGCAAATCCAGGTTAAGTTGCCTCTCCAAGGTAACTCAGCTTGAGGAGCAGAAAACAGGAATTAGGGAACTAGGTAATTTCTCTAAATGTAACACTTAATACAAATGAAGGAATATACATATGTGGCTGGGCATGGTGGCTCATATCTGTAATCCCAGCCCTCTGGACAGTCAAGAATGGAGGATCACTTGAGGCCAGGAGTTTGAGACCAGCCTGGGCAAGACTTTGTCTCTACAAAAATAAAAATAGGCCAGATGTGGTGATATTGTCTATGGTCCTAGCTACTCCAGAGGCTGAAGCAGGAGGATCACTTGAGCCCATGAGTTTGAGACTACAGTAAGTTATGATGGTACCACTGTACTCCAGCCTGGGAGACAGAGCAAGACTCTGTCTCTTAAAAAAAAAAAGCAAGCACACACTTTTTGAAGAATAGTAAGTACTGGTGAATTGACTCACCCACTTATGATACAGAACTGTCTGACGAAGCTTAAGCTTTCTGCCATAATGGAAATAATCTATAAGTACCTTGTCCAATATGATAACCACAAACCACATGTGACTACTGACAATTGAAATGTAGTGATTTTGTTCCTGTTTTGAAAAAATACTTATTTATGTCTTTTGCCCAGTTCTCTATTTATTGAGTTTTTTTGTTTTGTTTTGTTTTGTTTTGAGACAGAGTCTCACTCTGCTGCCCAGGCTGGAGTGCAGTGGTGTGATCTCAGCTCACCACAACTTCTGCCTCCCAGGACCAAGAGATTCTCCTGCCTCAGCCTCCCGAGTAGCTGAGATTATAGGCATGTGCCACCACATCTGGCTAATTTTTTTGTATTTTTAGTAGAGACGGGGTTTCATCATGTTAGCCAGACTGATCTCAAACTCCTGATCTCAGGTTATCCAACCACCTCAGCCTCCCAAAGTGCTGGAATTACAGGCGTGAGCTATTGCGCCTGACTTTAAATTTATTTTTATTTTTAGAGACAGGGTCTCTTGTTCTGTCTCCCAGGCTGGCATGCAGTAGCACAATCATGGCTCTCTGCATACTCAAACTCCTGGGCTCAAGCTATCCTCCTACCTCAGTCTCTCAAGTAGCTGGTACTACCTACATGAGTAACCGTGCCCAGTCTAAAATTATTTCTGGATATTAAACGATTATATTATTTGCCTACTGCAATGAACGGTCAGGGAATCCCAAATATGTGCTGGACTGACTTGTTTCCGATGAGTTTCCTTAATTTATACAGCCAACAGGTACTTATTAATAAGCTACCTATGTGCCAGACTCTATGCTATGCACTGATGGAAAAAAAAAAATCCTCTACTATTCTACTCTCACTCTTGAGAAAACTTGCCTTTTCTTTCATTCCAGTTCCACCAGAAATAGGTTGTATGCTTGAGTCTTAACTTGAACAATTAAGGGAAGGGAGGGGCCGTAAAAAAAAAAAAAACTTGAACAATTCTTCCCATCGAGCAATCCATCATCCTCTACACATTAAAATTTGAATGGTTCTTTTACTTTCATGTCCTCTGAAGAGGCCACAGAAAGGGTAGATATCCTAAGCATGATGATACTTCTCTTCCTACAATATCTGCACCTGTCGCAGTAGATAAATACAATCAAGTCACTTACACAAACAATTTCAGATAAATTCAATCAAGTCACTTACACAAACAATTTCAGCCGGACGCGGTGGCTCACGCCTGTAATCCCATCACTTTGGGGGGCCGAGGCGGGTGGATCACGAGGTCAAGAGATCAAGACCATCCTGGTTAACATGGTGAAACCCCGTCTATACTAAAAGTACAAAAAATTAGCTGGACATGGTGGCGCGTGCCTGTAATCCCAGCTACTCAGGAGGCTGAGACAGGAGAGTTGCCTGAACCCAGGAGGCGGAGGTTGCGGTGAGCCGAGATCGCGCCATTGCACTCCAGCCTGGGTAACAAGAGCGAAACTCAGTCTCAAAAAAACAAAAAACAATTTCAATCTTGAGGCTTCAAAACCTCCCACGGCTATGCTAACTGCCCCATCAAGGAAAGAAGCAAGTACAACAAAAACGGAATAAACTATAGTTTCCGCATGACGAAGTTTAGAGAAGCATTAAGAATTACTATTCTGGGAGACTGAGGAGGGTGGATCACCTGAGGTCAGGAGTTCCAGCCCAGCCTGACCAACACGGTGAAACCCCACCTTTACTAAAATACAAAAATTAGCCAGGCATGGTGGCACCCACCTGTAATCCCAGCTACTCGTGAGGATGAGGCACGAGAATCGCTTGAACCTGGGAGGCAGAGGTGCAGTGAGCTGAGATCACACCACAGCACTCCAGCCTGGGCGACAGAGCAAGACTCTGTTAAAAAAATAAATAAATAAATTACTTAACTAGGAAACTGGTGAAAACTAGTTTGCTTCACTAGAAAATTGGTGGGGATTTCCTCAGATTGTACACTGGAGACTCAGGCTAGTCAGGCCGCGGAAAATATAGGTCAGATTTCTAGGTCGGCCTGCCTATTCCTCAGCTTTAAGATCTCTCCAGGGCCTTCAAGCTGTCTTCATCCCTAAATATATTCAGGTCTTTCATTCACTGCAGTTATCTAGTACCTATGTTGTTGTCTAGCATAGTGGCTAGATGAAAGGAATACAAAAGCACCGTCTCTGCAGTCAAAGGGGCTCACAGTTAAGAGAAAGGTTTGTAAATACATAATTACTTCACAATGTGATAATCATTATCTTTGAAAGCAGAAGGGTTGATTCAATCTTCCAGGGAGTGACTGAGTTGCGTCTTAAAAAGGATGAGCTTTGCAATTCAAGAAAAAAGAAAAAAGGCCATTTCAGCAGAGAGAAAGGCGTGGTTACAGGCGTTTGCTGGGAGCTGTTTGAAGTCAGTGAAGCTGGGGTATGAGGACTCGCACCAGGTGGAGGTTGGGAAACCCCGGTTTGCGGGAGAAGTTAGAATCCACGCTGCTTGAACCCTCCCTGGCGCCTCTGCCCACAGCCCGTTTCACACCAGCCATCCCCGCTCCAAGTCTCACTACAAGCCGCGAAACGCAAAACGGAGGCAAACTGGCCAAAGGCAGAGACACCCTCCAAGACCCCGAGGACCCAGACCTGGCCCAGCGGACTGCCCGCACCTTGCCAAGCAGCCGTCTCAGGCCCTCGCAGTCGAACTCCATCTCCACCCAGGTCCAGAGCCAGGTCCCACGACCCCAGCCTCTGAACCTTCTTCCGGACTTGCTGCAGGACGGAAGCCGCCGAGGAGCAAACTTCCCGGCGGCCCAAGGCCCCGCCCCTTCCCAGACTGGAAATTCCACCCGCATTCAACGCCCAGGGCTCAGGCAGTGCTGCGCTTGGAGTCCGGCGGCCCCTCCTTCGTGACCCCGGAGTGGGCAAGTGACGAGGGCACGGCCGAAAACGCGTTGGCGTCAAGGAAACCATGACCCATCTTCCTGGAAGGAAACTTGGGGACATTTATGAAGAGAAGACTAGGAAGGACCGAAGTAGAATCACTAAAGGAGGTAGAAGCAACGCACGGTATTCTTGAAGAGTTTCCAGACAGATGTGTTAAATTCCGCAGAGTATAAGGAAAGAGCAAGACCGAAAATTGCATTTGAATTTAGGAAGGAAGCGGCAATGGAACTTCAGAAGCAAAATTTCAGGGAGTAGAAAGGAAAACAGGAAAAAGCCAGGTGAACAAAAGAGTTGGAAAACAAGAGAAGAGGGAGATGGGTGGATAAGGTCATCGGGAGAAGGTGGGTAAAGAGGGGATAGAGGATACAGTAATTTTTCTGGCGTTGGTTGGTCTCCTAGACCCTCAACTGACTTACCTGCCTGGTATCCCTGGCTTGAGCCACTGAAGCGAAAACCCAGGCGTTGGATATTTTAATTGTCAAGTGGTTGAGCATGTAGAAGGGAGATTGTGTTTATAGGAAGATCTGAAGGGAGGGGCTGCCGTGACTCTGGAGAAGAAGCTGAAAAGCTGGAAGGAACATTCATTTAAAAACCTTTGGTTGAGCATCTACTACTTGCCGGCTATTTTACAAGGTCTCAGGATACAGCAGCAAACAACAGAAAAAGATAGCTGCTGTCTTTTTTTTTTTTTGAGACCGAGTTTCGCTCTTGTTACCCAGGCTGGAGTGCAATGGCGTCATCTCGGCTCACTGCAACCTCCGCCTCCTGGGTTCAGGCAATTCTCCTGCCTCAGCCTCCTGAGTAGCTGAGATTACAGGCACGCACCACCATGTCCAGCTAATTTTTTTGTATTTTTAGTAGAGACGGGGTTTCACCATGTTGACCAGGATGGTCTCGATCTCTTGACCTCGTGATCCACCCGCCTTGGCCTCCCAAAGTGCTGGGATTACAGGCTTGAGCCACCGTGTCCGACGATAGCTGCTGTCTTAAGGCTGTCATTCCTTTATTAGCAGAGGGAAAGCAAAACAATAAATATAATAAGTAAATTATTCAGCATGCCAGAAAGTTGATTACATGTTGTGGAAAATAAATTCTTAAAAGTGTAAGGAGATTGTGTAGGTCTCACTGAGGGGTGAGAGAGTAAGTGTTCTGAATCGGAGTGCAGACAAAGCAAAGGCCTAAGACAGGCATGTGCCCAAGGAGGCCAGTGTGGCTGGAGTAGAATGAAATAAGATGGGAGTAGAGACAAGGAGGCTAAGTCAGGGAAATAAGAGAGGAACAAATGGTTTAGGGAAGTGAGTCTTCTAATGTGATCCTCAGACCTGCAGTCTCAGCCTCATCTGAAACTTGTTAGAAATGAAGATTCTGGCCTGGCGTGGTGGCTCACTCCTGTACTCTCAACACTCTGGGAGGCTGAGGCGGGTGGATCACCTGAGGTTGGAAGTTCGAGACCAGCTTGACCAACATGGAGAAACCCTGTCTCTACTAAAAATACAAAATTAGCCGGGTGTTGTGGTGTATGCATGTAATCCAGCTACTCGGTAGGCTGAGGCAGGAGAATCACTTGAACCCAGGAGGTGGAGGTTGTGGTGAGCCAAGATTGTGCCATTGCACTCCAGCCTGGGCAACAAAATCGAAACTCTGTCTCAAAAAAAAGAAAGAAATGAAGATTCTAAGACCCTAAGACATCACCCCAGATTTATTCAATCACAAACTCTGGGGTTGGGGACTAGCAATCCATTTTAGCAAGTCTTCCAGATGATTCTGATAAATGATGAAGTCCAAGAACCACTGTGGAACTTTGTAGACAATTGTAAGGACTCTGGCCTATCAGTGCCCCCCAGCCAGAGACCATCAGGAACACACCTGTACTTAAACTTGTTTAATAGTTCTTAATAGTTCATTATTAATAGTTCTTGAAGCAGGTGCTGTGGAGAACCATTGGGACAGCTTGGTGAGAGTGAGAGAACCTATTATAGGATTTGGGCAATTTGCCGGAGGGCCAAGAAAGCCAGGCTTCACCCTGGATTAGGTGCTATCAGAAAGCAGGGACATTTCTGTAACTAGGTACCTGAATAAGTATTGTCTGTAAGATGGACAGATGAAAGTGAGGATAAAGCTATACTTGGTAAAGAAGCAGCAGTCACTCATAGTAGCAGAGGACGTTTGGTTTTTCATGGCTTGCACGGTGACTTTGCTCTCTTGTCTCTGCTTAGACAAAATTATGAAATGGCCTTGTTGTGTCTCACTTTTTTATAGTATGACCTTGTCTGATATTGGTGTTCTATGAGATTATGTCCCACATTAGAATAACTGGGCCAAGCTGTGAGCACCAGTCCAGCTTCTCACAACCCTGAAGTCTAGCAGTGTCAGACCATCTCTCAGATGTCAGGGCCTGCCTCTTTCTCAGGCTTTTAATCTGGGAGAAAGAGAAAGCCACTGGGAGGTTTTGAACAGAAGAGTGACATGATCTGACTGAGCTTTAAAAAAATATTAATAACTCTGTGGTATTGTGAAGAGGCAGTAGCTTGGGGCAAGAGTAGAAGTCAGAAGACAAGGTAGGAGGAAGATTACAGAGAAAGTTAAAGGATAGAAAGCCTGTTAAGTGTATCTCAGCCAGATCTAACCAACCTTGAAACAGAACTGCCAGGGGCTCCAAGTTCTAATAGATCCTGCCAGAAATCCATTGTATAAGGAAAAGATACCAATTTAGCAGCAAGGCCAAGGCAAGATTCTGCCTTTTTTTTTTTTTTTTTTGAGACAGAGTTTCACTCTTGTTGCCCTGGCTGGAGTGCAATGGCGCGATCTCAGCTCACCACAGCCTGGGTTGAAGCGATTCTCCTGCTTTAGCCTCTCAAGAGTAGCTGGGATTACAGGCACACATCACCACAGCTGGTTAATTTTGTATTTTTAGTAGAGATGGGGTTTCTCCATGTTGGTCAGGCTGGTCTCAAACTCCCAGCCTCAGATGGTCCGCCTGCCTTGGCCTCCCAAAGTGCTGAGATTACAGGTGTGAGCCACCGCACCCAGCCTCTTCCATCTTTTATGAAAGAGCCTTTTGGCCAGGCGCGGTGGCTCACGCCCATAATCCCAGCACTTTGGAAGGCTGAGGTGGGTGGATCACAAGGTCAATAGATTGAGACCATCCTGGCCAACATAGTGAAACCCTGTCTCTACTAAAATATAAAAATTAGCTGGGCATGGTGGCACACACTTGTAGTCCCAGCTACTCAGGAGGCTAAGGCAGCAGAATTGCTTGAACCCGGGAGGTGGAGGTTGCAGTGAGCCAAGATCGTGCCACTGCACTCCAGCCTGGCACCTAGTGACAGAGCAAGACTCTGTCTCAAAAAAAAAAAAATTGCTTGAACCCGGGAGTGTGTGTGTATGTGTGTGTGTGTGTGTGTGTGTGTGTACAGCCTATTTCCTTGTTTCTGAGATTCTGTTGAATAAGAGATGTATTAGTGATAGCTTTTGGGGGGAGAAGAAGACTACAAAATTAAACATACATACCGATTTTAACAAACTTATTTCAAAGGAGTTTAAGTGTGAAATAGAGAATATGTGTATAATTGTCTCCATTTTATAGATAGGGAAACCAAAGACTAAGGTTAAATTACTGCAGAATATGATGTCAAAGACTGTCTTTCTAATCTATGTATTATACTGCCTCTCACTGTGTGTGAATGTGATGACACTTTGTGATTAATAGTCGAGGAAGGCCAGGCGCGGTGGCATTCCTGGACTACATGTAATAACATGACTATTACATGTAGAATAGTCTATTTTAGATTATTATATGTAACACTTCCTACCCCTTCTTTAGTCGATCACTTGCTCCTAGTTGATAATTCTCTTTATTAAAATTTTCAAATTACTGTGTTTTCTGTCTCCTGACTGGACCTGACCTACTGTATCATTGGGAGCAAGATGAAATAAACTAGAATATTATGCAAAAATTAAAAGGAATAACTTAGACGAGGCACAGTGGCTCACACCTGTAATCTCAGCATTTTGGAGGCTGAGGCTGCGGCAAAAGGCTCATTTGAGCCCAGGAGTTCGAGACCTGCCTGGTTAACTTAGCAAGACCCTGCCTTTACAAAAGAAAAAGAAAAATTAGCCAGGCATGGTGGTGCACACCTGTAGACCCAGCTACTTGGGAGGCTGAGGTGGAAGGATCGCTTGAGCCCAGGAGTTCAAGGCTGCAGTGATCTGTGACTGTGCCAGTGCACTCCAGCCTTGACAACAGAGTGAGACTGTCTCCAAAAAGAACAGTCACTTCTGCCTAGGAAGGATCAGCTGCTACAGAAATTACTTCTCTTCATAAATAGAAAATTGCACAAAACATGAAATAATTGTTTTCAGGTCTTATACATGAGACAGAACAAGACTATGTGCTTTGAGAGAAACGAAACCAAGGAAGGTGAGTCCTACAATTGCTCCAGCTAGGAGGGAGTTTCCAGACTGTCACACAGAGAGGGATTACCCAACAGAGTTTCAGAGTTGAAGAGAAAGATAGCAAAGTACAGCAGAGGCCAGCATCAAGAATTCGCAGGATGGAGTACTAAGAAGAGGAAGGTCCATGGAGAAAGCTCTGTAGGTTTCTAGAGGGGCCCTTATGAGTCTTTGGCTGAGTTCTATCTGCACATATATGGGACAAAACTCTTCCAGGTGTGATGGCTCATGACTGTAATCCCAGCACTTTGGGAGGCTGAGGCAGGTGGATTACCTGAGGTCAGGAGTTTGAGACCAGGCTGGCCAATATGGTGAAACCTTGTTTCTACTACAATTACAAAAATTGACTGGGCATTGTGGCTCCTGCCTGTATCCCAGCTACTGGGAGGCTGAGGCAGGAGAATCCCTTGAACCTGCGAGGCAGAGGTTGCAGTAGCCGAGATTGTGCCACTGCACTCCAGCCTGGGCAATAGAGCGAGACTCTCAAAAGAAAAAAAAAATACTCTATGAGGCCTGGAAAAGATCCACCCAAAAGCAGTAGGCCAAACACTTCTTGGAGTTCCTGAAGGGCAGGGAATTGTGGAACCTTCCACAGATTTGAAAGATCTAGGGTAGGCGCAGTGGCTCATGCCTATAATCCCAACACTTTGGGAGGCCAAGGCAAGCAGAACACCTGAGGTTGGAGGTCCAAGACCATCCTGACCAAATGGAGAAACCCTGTCTCTATTCAAAATACAAAATTAGCAGGCATGGTGGCGCACGCCTGTAATCTCAGCTACTTGGGAGGCTGAGGCAGAAGAATCACTTGAACACCGGAGGCAGAGGTTGTGGCGAGCTGAGATTACACTATCGCACTCCAGCCTGGGCAACAGAGCAAAACTCAATCTCAAAAAAAAAAGTTCTAATACAGTTGGCCTCAGAGAAGGTGCTCAGAGAAAGTAGTCATAGCTCAGCAGTGGGGATATTACCCCTAGAGTAAAGGCTGTTCCTGGCCTATCATAAAACTTAAAACAAGCCTCAGAAGAATCAAACTGATCTCAAGTAACTTAAGTCTACCTTAGAATAAAATTTAATACTGTCGAATACAACAAAATCCAGCACTCAACACTGTAAAATTTCAACATGTTCAACATCTAATCAAAAGTTGTAAGACATTTAAAGAAGCAGGATGTATAACAACAGGCCAGGCACGGTGGCTCACACCTGTAATCCCAGCACTTTGAGACGCTGAGGCTGGTGGATCACCTGAAGCCAGGAGTTCCAGACCAGCCTGGCCAACATAGTGAAACCCCATCTCTACTAAAAATACAAAAATTAGCCAGGTGTGGGGGTGGGCACTTGTAATTCCAGCTACTTGGGAGGCTGAGGCAGGAGAATCACTTGAACTCAGGAGGCGGAGGTTGCAGTGAGCCAAAACTGCACCATTGCACTCCAGCCTGGGCAATGGAGCAAGACTCCATCTCAAAAAAAAAAAAAAATTCTAGAGATGAAAAATACATTAAATATCCATGATGTTATAACATAAAAGCAAAAAAGATCTTTGGTGACCTCTGAGAGAGTGTCTAATAGTAGGGCAGGCTAGGAGTCAGAATGTAATGCATGGAAGATGGAAGAGGGGTGTAGAGTGGAAGAAGCTTTGAATGTGGACCACTTGTTTAGGAAGTTTGGTCATAAAAGGAAATTAAGAAATAAGACCGGGAAGGAGCCACAGTATCAGCTGGAGGACTTTTTTGAGTAAAGGACAGGGGTATGTGTGGCTTCATGATGGCCAAGAAAAGAGAACCAATGGAAGGAACTAACCCAAGGTGTTGAAGATGTGGGTATACCATCGTGCTGAGGATGCCCTTGAGATGGGGAGGGGAGGTTTTGCAGGGACAGAAATAGAGACATCTGTCTCATTTGCCTGTGATTCAATTTGCTTCATTCACATGTCATGGACCTAGCAGCAAAACACTTTTCCAAATCTCTGCCTCTAGTGTAAAGAGCCCAGCTGCCCAACAGGTGGCTGAGTCCTACGTCTTGCCCTGATCTGGAGCATCAGCTCTGTGCTATAGTGTGCTTCACTTAGGCTCTGGTGTAAGCCTCAGTTTTCTCATTAGTGAAATGGGGTTAACAATAATACTTCATAGTGTTGCTGCTCAGCTACTGGTCTGAAGGCAGTGTCTCTGGTGTGTTTTGAGTCTGGTCCATATGATCAGTGATGTCACAATGCCCTACTAGACTTCAGCTTCTCCACTAGGGAGTTGTGGAACCTTTGGAGCCAAGGACTCAAACAGACATGCGAGACCTCTACCAACTGAAGGTTTATGAACACACTCCTTTGCCAAGATCTTGGTGAATAGTCTTTCACTGTGCAATTGTATCTTAGAAATTGTTTTCCTTTTGATCATGATTGTGCTTGGCTGGATGCTTTTTGTTGGACTTGCATGTTACATGGGCACGTTTCCAGAATTAATGGTAAGGAACAGCTCTGCCTATAAATCCCTAGTGGTCAGTCCTGCTGCTGGCTCATCTTCCTTTCTTGGTTTTCTGACCAAATGGGAAAGATAGTTGAGGTCTCATCACTAACTGGAAGTCAGAATGTGATGGGAACAAAGTTAGTTTCCCAGGCATTTCCCATCCCACTGGAGACATCCTTTTAAGTCTTTTTCCCGCCTCCCTTGCATATATAGCTGCCCTTGTTTCAAGGCACTGTGGAATTTGCAAGGGGTCTGCTGGAAACCATATTTGGCTTGTGGATTTCAGGGCAAGTGGATCAGTGGTTGTTGGTAGGAAGGGGAACAGTAGGGATTGGTGGAACCTTTTAGCAGCCCTTCTAGTCACCACACAGAGGCTTATCTACTATAACACCACACAGTTATCTACTGGGCCAATGAGTAGAGCCATCTCTGTCCTCTAATTTTTTTTCTGATTCAGCCTCCAACTCTGAAGTGGAAGGAGAGGTGGCCTGTTCTGGAGAGCAAGACACAGCTGAGGAGGTGGGCTTTAGATGAAAATCGGCTGCAAGTAAGTGGGTGGTCAGGTCTGGTGGGCTGGATCCCTCCCTTTCCAGAACACTTGGTAGTATCCTGAAATATCAGTGGACGGTGTTTATTCCTCTGGAAAATATAATAAACTGGAAAGGGAAATGGTTTGGTGAGTACTGCTGAGGATGGCAGGCCAAAGTTGTTAATAACCATGTCTCATAGGTGTTGTTTTTGAAGACTGTTGCCATCTATTATTTTTTCTCCTCACAACACTGTAATACACTATTAATAGCATTCTTTTTTTTTTTTTTTTTTTTTTTTTTCCTGAGACAGGTCTTGCTCTGTCTCCCAGGCTGGAGTGAGGTGCAAGCAGTCCTCCCACCTCAGCTTCCTGAGTAGCTGGTACTTAGGTACATGCCACCAAGCCTGGCTAATTTTGTGTGTGTGTGTGTAGATAGGGTCTATGTTGCTCAGGCTAGTCTTGAACTCCAGGACTCAAGTGGTCCTCCCGCCTTGGCCTCCCAGAGTGCTGGGATTATAGGCATGAGCCACCATGCCTTGCCAGGACCAGCATTTTTAATGTCCCTTTGGCAGATCCTGAAACTGGAGTTAACATTGAACTTGAGTTTAGGTCCTAACTTTGCAACTTACTAGCTATGTGACCTTGGGAATGTTTAATTTATTGGAACCTCAGTTTCAAAGTTTCTTCTGTACAACAGGAGATAATTTGAGTATCTTACTATTTTTGTGAAGATTATATTTGAAAATTAATGTAAAGCATTTAATGCAACTCAAAAATTAGCATTTAGTAAGATACTAACTTAACAACAAACAAATAATGATCCAGTCAACAAAGATTTGCTGGAGACAGTGACCTCCACTATTTACCCAAGGCCACACAAGCTAGCTCGCTGGTGAAGGTGGGATGCAAGCACACCTTCACATCCCACCTTCTGGTCTCTGGACTTGGTAGCCTCTCATAGTCATTCCACTGGACCAGCCTGCCTACAGGAAACACCAATGGCATTACCCCTTTTAGCAGACCATCTCCTGACTTCTTATATCTCACCCCATTTCATTCAGACCTGTTTTTTAGAGCTGTTCCTATTGTTTGAAAAACTTAACTCAGAGGTTTTTATTTTTGTTTTGTTTTGTTTTTTTGAGACAGAGTCTTGGTCCGTTGCCCAGGCTGGAGTGTAGTGGCACAATCTTGGCTCTGCAACCTCCACCTCCAGGGTTCAAGTGATTCTCCTGCCTCAGCCTCCTGAGTAGCTGGCATTACAGGTGTGTGCCACCATGCTCGGCTGATATTTTTTGTATTTTTAGTGGAGATGGGGTTTCACCATGTTGGTCAGGCTGGTTCCAAACTCCTGACCTTGTGATACACCTGCCTTGGCCTCCCAAAGTGCTGGGATTACAGGCGTGAGCCACCACTCCCGGCCAGGAGAGTTTTAATAATATACTGATTACGGGAGCAGAAGGTTTTTTGGAAACTACTCCAGAATTTAGGGGTGTTCAGTCCCAGCCCCAGCCCCAGGTATAAGAGCAGGACATGATGGTTGGGATTTTAAAAAATCTCCATCTACCCCAGGATTTCTGTGAACGCATTAGCCCAAAGCAGTTAGAACTTGGTGGCAGTCCTGACCAGACCACTTAAACTATTCTGTGCCTCAGTTTCTCCAGCTGCGAAATGAGTAAAACAAGCCCATTTTCCTTCTCTTCCCTTCTCAGGAAAGTTGTAAATAGGCTCACCCTACATGATGAGAGTTTAAGTGCCATTTTATAAAATGCAAGATTTCTTTTTTTGAACAGCCTAACAATAGCATATGAAGTTAATTGCTCATGGCATACCTAGCCAGCTAATTCTCTTAATGAATCCAAGCTTTTTTACTTTTGCATACCATCTGATTGCACAAAGCCAATAGTTAAACATTTTGGCAGGTAATTAGTTAATGAGTGTGATGCCAGCTAGGTCCAAATCACAGATACACCAGAGCACAGAGCCCTTTTGATAAATTTTCTTTAGCCCAACGCACCTGGCATCCTGGCCAACCATCCCATAGCTGCTCCTGCTGACTGGTCACAGGAGCTGATGTCATAATTGGTGTCTGAGCTCTGCCCTGTTAAATGGCCCTGAGGAACTACTTCAGTTCAGACTAGGCCACGAAGCTCCTTAGTGAGGAGCTGCCATGCTGGGCCAACCACCATCTGGTGTCTAAGAAAGCCCAATTCCTAAGACTCAGGGAATAGAACACTACACCTTCCAGAAGTACTTGTTTCTTCTTGGGCACACCACCGGCTAAGACAGAAGCCTCAAGATGATTGTTGTTTTATGGATGCTTCTCATTGCAGGAACCATGTGGAAGGGATATAAATATCCCCCAGGAGGAGTAAGTGTACCTTCAACCTTGTTCTCTATTCCTACTTTGAAATGTATTCCCACCCCAGAAACAAACTAAGCATGAAAATCCAACTTTAGTAATATTAGAAACAAATATTTTTATTTTTTTAAAAGTTACTGTAGCTTCTACTTGTATTATTATTCACACTCAGAGTTGGGAGAGTTCCCATTTTCTTTCACATGATCTTTAAGGCCCAGAGTCAAAGTTTTCTGAAGTTGGGAAATCTTTCTCTGTTGTCCTTATAGACATTTTCTGTGCCCAGTCTTTGATGCTATTTCCTAGGGATCAGTCCACTTCAGAAATCCAAACTTCGCTCTCCCACAAGTAACCACTAGTTTGTAAAAGGGTTCTGGTGGCAGATGTCTCTTTCCTCTCTCCTCCTGTTAGACCTTGGAACTACTGTCTTTTCTTTGCCTCTTATCACTCCCCAATGCTGAGGTCCCCTTGCAGTCAGGATCAGCACCTCTCAGAGGTGAGACAGAATTGGAGGTGGCCTCCCTTGCTGTCCCTGGCTTGGAGGCCAAAAGCCTCAGCCCCACACTAGCAACCACTAGATCCACATGACACACTTTTTTTTCCCCCACAGACCCCAGTGGAAGTAAGCAAGGATGATCCTGGTGAAGTAATGCAGCTCTGAAGCTCACCTGACCAGCTGTACAGTTCCTGTTATTGGTTTCGCATAAAGTAATTGCACATTATTTTGTCATATTTTATGTTAAGAAGTTATCGCACTTTTTAAGATGAATGAAGACTTAGTATTGTTAGCTTGTAACAGAGACAGTTGAGTGGATGGGATACAGGTGGGTCCTTTTGCTACATGGTCTCTAAGACTGGCATTAAGATACCTAGTTCAGCTGGGCACAGTGGCTCTCACGTGTAATCCCAGCACTTTGGGAAGCCAAGGCAGGTGGATCATTTAGGGTCAGATGATCCCCCACCTCTACTAAAAATACAAGAAATTAACCAGGGCATGATGTGGTGGCACATAGTCCCAGTTACTCGGAAGGCTGAGGCAGGTTGCAGTGAGCTGAGATATCGGGCCACTGCACCCCAGCCTGGCTACAGAATGAGACTCAGTCTCAAAAGAAAAAAAAACAAACAAAACCCGAAGCTTATACCATGTGGGGACAGAACCTCATTTTTAATATTGGGGTTAGATACTTAAGTATAATTATCTTAATCCTTAAAATAATCTTCTGAAGCTGAGTATTAGCCTCATCTTACAAAATGGCAAAAATGAAGTTAAGGGTCATATCTGTCTTGCCAACACACACAGCCCTGGGCTGCAGAGTCAAGATTAAGATCTGGGGCTTCTCCCTTCGCACTTTCATGTGCCAAGAAAGAGCCAAACAAGACACTCTGGGATATCTAAGATCTTGCTGTTTAAATATCTCCCTCATCTGAAAACCCAGTAAGTTAGGCTGGGCGTGGTGGCTCACACCTGTAATTCCAGCACTTTGGGAGGCTGAGGCGGGCAGATCACTTGAGGCCAGGAGTTCTAGACCAGTCTAGCCAATATGGTAAAATCCCATCTCTAGTAAAACTACAAAAAAAAAAAAAAATTAGCCAGGCATTGTGGCAGGCACCTGTAATCTCAGCTACTCAGGAAGCTGAGGCAGGAGAATCGCTTGAAACAGGGAGGCAGAGGTTGCAGTGAGCCAATATTGCACCACTGCACTCCAGCTGCGTGACAGAGCAAGACTCTATATTAAGAAAAAGTGAAGAAAAAAGAAAACCCAGGAAGTTGCCTGATAGTTCTTTTTCTTGACTACTGAAAAGATAGGAGCCTGAGAGAGACTTAACAGGAGTAAATACTTTAAAAAACAGTATGGAACTGTACCCATTCTGATGACTGACACAGTTCCAATATTCAAGAGAAGTGTATCTTTTCCAGCAAAGTAGATCTTTTGTTTACATAGAAAACATTTTGTTATCTGGGATGTTTGCTTAACTATTTGTAAGTAGCTCTTTGCAATAAATGGATTACGCTTTTTTTAATGGAAAGAAAATAAATTCAAAATCTGTAAGCAAAACTTTAGTAATTTCTGAATCTAGGATACTAGCATCTTCCATTATTTTACGTGATTTAGACTCAACCCATTCCAATGAGTTAAGTACCTATGTCCTCTGGCTGTGTTCATTTGCCTCATACTTTTTCTTTTTTTAAAAAAAGTCTTGTTCTGTCACCCAGGATAGAGTGCAGCGGCACAATCTCAGCTCACTACAACTCTACCTCCCAGGTTCAAGAGATTCTCATGCCTCAGCCCCCTGAGCTGCTGGGATTACAGCGCATACCACATTTTTGTATTTTTAGTAGAGACAGGGTTTTCCCATGTTGGCCAAATTGGTTTTGAACTCCTGGCCTCCACCTGCCTCCGCCTCCCAAAGTGCTGAGATTACGGATGTGAGCTCCTGTGCCCAGCCTACCTCATATACATTTCTAAGGATTCCTCTTCTTGGGCATCTCAAGCTGTTATCCTAAGAGATAGGACGCTGCTCATTTTGACAAGAGGAACCACATACCCAGCTCTGTGTCCTCCCTCCATTTGAGTAAACTTCCAAAGCTTGAGCCACTAAACTAGATTCCATTGCTCTGACCACCTAACAGTTCTCTTAACATGGGTGTCTGAGAGCAGAACAGTTCTCTAAGCTGGTAGGGGAGAGAAGCACAATGGGTAAAGGAGGTAAGCAGAGGAGTGTGTGCAAGAGGCAAACCCTATCTCTGAAGTGTTATGAGTATACCGAGGTTTCTAGCTGGAAAAATGTTCAGGGTGATGAGATAAATAACTCAAAGTTTTGATCAATAAATGCAAACCAGCAAAAATATCAATAAAATATTTTTAATGCCTACAATTTCTTGTATACATAAATTGCAAAACTTTCACCTGTATATGCAAAAGTATATTCTCTTGCAGGTCAAACAGCACCAGAAAACAAGCTAAGCTATCTAAAATTTTTTTAACTTGATTTGTCCATTATGTAAAAGACAGGATGGATTTAATAATGCCAAAGAAATTTCTATCTCACTCTTAATCATACACTAAATGCCTGAATATTTAATCACATCCACTCAGAAAATAAATAGTAGTCTAATATATTCAGCACATTGAAAATAAAACAACCAGTCTCTCTTCATATATTTATTCTCTCTCCAAACATGTTTTGGTCTCTGGCTATATCTCAGAAATTTACTAATAGCTGCTTTTAAGTTATAAAATATAAAACAACAATTTATTTATTGGAGAAAATCTTGGAGATTACATTAAAAATGAAAATTTGAGAGTTCCCACAGACTTTTCTTTTTTTTTTGAGATAAGAGTCTTGCTCTGTTACCCAGGCTGGAGTGCAATGGTGCTATCTTGGCTCACTGCACCTCCACCTCCTGGGTTCAAGCGATTCTCCCACCTCAGCCTCCCCAGTAGCTGGGATTACAGGCACGCGCTACCATGCCTGGCTACTTTTTTGTATTTTTAGTAGAGACGGGGTCTTATCATGTTGGCCAGGCTGGTCTCAAACTCCTGGTCTCAAGTGATCCTCCCGCCTCGGCCTCCCAAAGTGCTGGGATTATAGGTGTGAGCCACCACACCCGGCCAGACTTTTTGTTAACAGTCTTTGAAACTTTTCATGGCACACACGTAAGGCTGCCCGTGACATGTGGTACCCTGGCCTCCAACTGGACATAACTGCATTTATAGGTTAGAGAAAATATAAAGTTCTGAAAGTAGCCTTAAAAGAAGCGCCCTTTGCTTTGACACAGCAATGTCAAAAGCCAAGTGGGACTGTGCAATCAGAGCCATGAGTTTTATGAAAACTCCTTTCCTTTCACATCATTTGTTAGAGAATGCTGTACCCATGATCATGTAACATTATTACAATCATGAAATATTCTACATTCGTGATTAACATTACCCAAAAGGCACATCTTCAAATGTTGAATTAAGAAAATCTGAAAATCAAAACAGTAGAGACTACATTAAAAATCAAGCATTTAATTTGTAAACCTTAATGAAATAACAGCTTACTCCAGTTTCTTCAAAGGTTTGTGAGCTTTTTGTAAGAATGGTCAGGAAGTGCAGAAGAATAACATGGAAGACAGGATTTGAAAGCAAGGCCAAGATTTAAAAGACTTAACCTTTCTTTCCCTTTTAAATGAGCCACAGAAGTGCTCTTTTATAATGTTGATGCACATCAACATTTGTATTGTAGAAATGCACTCAGAAGTAACAGACACGTAAGGTTAAAACCTGATTCTTCCTACTAAGTTCTGGAAATGTATTCTAACACAATGGTGCCTTTCTGTACAAATAACTATACCATATCATAAATTCACTGCTAGTACACTTTAAGCCACCAAAAATCTTTCAGCTGTGACAAGCACTTGATTGTAATGACAGATTTCAGAGTCTGAATGTTGAAAAAAATATATATCCAAGAAAAAATTTTTGAAGGGGGAATAAAAACACATAAATGGCAGCAGAGGAACTGATGTTCTAAGCCTGTTTTATTACATGGGACATCACACTACCCATAAATCAATTTCACTGACGATATTTGAGATGGGTGAGATGAAATCAATATGATTTTCTGCTACCAGTGTGACAGTTCTATACATAGTTACAAAGGGTATTATTCCTAGTGATGAAGACACCTTTCATGGGATTCAATTTAAAAATTAAATCTTGGCATTTTGAAAGTTTGAAACTCAATTCAAAACGAGTCAGTCTTAAAAGACTGGCTCATCTGGTCCCATTAAGGAAGGCTAACAATGGTAATCTAATACCCAAACTTGAAGAATAAAGACTTTATGGATAAAAAGGAATAAACCAAAACATTTGGCCCGCTGAAGTTTAAGGGCCTGTTGTAGGACAATCCCTCTTACTTCCTAATCCCCACCATACAATGGCTTAAGATAACCAGAATGTTTATTGTAGAACTGTCGTACAAGCTGATGTCTCACTTCCCCCAAGCCTTTGTACTTACAGTCAAGGACAGATACTCTCTAGCATCATATCTCATTTTCGGTTGCAGACAGTTCTTTAGACTTGGCTTCCTTCCAGCCTCATCCTAAGGCAGCCTGATTGGAACTGCTTGGACTTGAAGCTTAAGGGATATCAAGTCTATATTTATGACTTTAAAAGGGTAAAAATGAATTTCCACAGCTCAGTAAAATACTGGTAAGAGGGAACATCCCTTCCTACCCTGGGGGGGGAAAAATCTTTTCACAGTGCATAGTTTGAAATCAAAGTGCAATATGGGCAAAAAGAGAAGGTGGTGCTCTCGATAACCATAAATTTAGTTTTTGGTTCTCTGCCTTTAATATTTGCTAACAAATTCAAGTTAAAAATGAAAAGTCATTAATGTCAAGAGGTATGGGGGCACCTTGGGATTTCAAAATATCTTTATGATGGGGGAGGGGAGTGGGGAGCCTCACATGTTACTTCCTTATTTTATAAACTATTACTCTTTCAAATTTCATGTTTGAATAAAATATTTTTTCTTCAATATAAAAATGATTTTTTTAGATAAAAAAATCAATCAGCACAGTGACCTTGTCTATCTTACACTAAAGCCAACATAACTGAAAGGAAAACTTAGAAAAGAATATTATACTGTTATAACCTGTACTTTAACTTGAAAATTTTTTCACTAATTCCTAACCACCTAAATTAATGAGTAAGAATGCT